TCCTGTACATGTATAGCTATTACATATGTTGTAGTAATAGATTTTTGAAGCCATGTACTTCGTTAACCGAATCAATAATAAATAAAAATCCTAAATTACAATAAAACATAACTACTAAGGATACTTCTGAATTGTTTGAGGAATCATCAAGGAAATGAGCATGTCCAATCAAATATGTATTAGTACAAGCATATAAAAAAAACTTTTTGATCGACCCTTGTATGATAGCCAATCATACACATACTAGTGTTACTATAAATAAAGCAATAGAATAAATGTCACATTAAAATAAATGATACATTTTATTATTATTTGATAAAGTTCCATCCTTTAAAACCATTCAAACAAACTCAATATTGATATATCTTTCTAACTAAAATATAACTATATGAAACAAACTATATATCTATATTCATACTTTGATCTTTGGTTTAGAATTGTTATAAAATGTTGCCCTTTGTAATTTGTCATTATTTGTTTAAACAATATCTCTAACGATTCCAATGATTTATCTTCCGAAACACAAAGGGCTTTCTTTGTACAAATAGCTTGTCTATAATTAATTTCAACATTCTCTCTTGTTGAATAATAGACTCAATAAAAGATACCATGGATACCAGGCTCAAATGGTTTAGGTTTAAATACGTGGGCGGACGGTAGATGCTGCCATGTCGACTCTATTGCCAAAATAAGTCAACAAATTAATAATGTATAACCCATATGATTACCACCTTGTCGGGCCAGTTCTAGGGGTTTTAGTGCTAGTTTAGAAAGCATTCATTTTTTTACTATATCAACCTGAGCAATATGTGACGTCATAGTGGCGTTCAATATAGCCGGTCAAGAATGTATTTAACGACCAAAATTTTCCCTGGGAAATTAGATATCGTTCAGTGTGTAAAATTTTCTTGCTGTTTCAGTCCTGATCATTAACGGTGGTAATAATACTAATAACGTCATTTTCACGTGACAAAATATTGAAAATGTCTATACGGATTGAATAAATATTACATCGTTGATTGGCCGATTGGTTTTGTGGTGTCTCACAAAACTGCGGGCAACTGCCAGGAGCAATATTGGGAGTGAACTCAGCTGGGGTTTATTTACACAGTGGTCAGTTAAATCAGACAGATTTATCAAGGTGAAGTAGGAACATCGAAATATTGTGAATCAAGATGTGACAACCCAGGAATCATCTATGGATGGGATAGACAGATGGACGGACAGACAGATGGACGGACAGACAGACAAATAACAACAATAGTTCATCCATGGGAGCTAAAATCTTCTACATTGGAGAACAATTTAGTTTGAGTAATGGAAGAAATAATGCATTCATGGAGATAACAGCTATCAGAGTCCTGCTACAAAACTTGCATCACAACGACATATTGCTAACTCTACAGCCCTTTATGAACTGTTAACCCTACAGAGTCCAAGACAAGATTCCCTTTATAAACTATTAACCCTATAGGGTCTGAGAAAAGATTCCATTTATTAGACTATTATCTGTCAAAGCCTGTCCCACAAATATATCCTTCATTAGCCTATGAAGTCTAACAAATATATTGTATATGAGAGTCGCCAAAAATATATCCTTTGGGAATACTAATATTTGGCAAAGTCTACTCCACAAATACATCCTTAAGACCATTAACCTTAAACTCTGCCCCCCAAAATAATTGTTTCTGAGCCTATTATCTGTCAAATTCCCCAAAATAAATCATTTATGAGACTTTAATTTGTCGAAGTCTATTTCACAAATACATCCTTTTAAAGACTGTCCATTAACCCTCAAAGTTTGACCCCAAATAATCTTTTAAGAGATACAATCATTCCTGATTTATCAGAGTCCCACTTTATCTAACGCTTTCAAAGGATAATATTTCATAATACTATGTATGAAAAGTATACGTAGTATGACTATGAGAGGTGTTGGTTAATTTAGAAGTATACATAGGTATATCCATATGTTCTCTTAAAATTATGATTTGACCCCAAATAATCTAAGAGATTTATTAGAGTCTCACTTTATCTAACGCTTTCAAAAGATAATACTTGCTCTGGATCCCACAATGAGATATAATCCATCCAATTCTGTCCCACAAATGCATCCTTTATTAGACATTACCTCTAAAAGGCTGGGACACAATGCCCTCTATTAATTTATTAACCCTAAAAAGCTGTTACACAAAAGCATATTTTACTTGACTATTCACCTTCAAGTCTGTTACACAAATCATCCTTTATAGACTCTTAATCCCCTCAATGCCAAGGACACAATGTCAATTTCACGGCTCTATATTAGACTTTTAACTCTAGAAATATGCTTCCAAAATGCACGTTCCCTTTCCATCTTTAAAAGACTATTACACTCAAAGTATTTTTGCTGTAACCCATCTTTTAGGAATTCCATCTTTCAAGGCAAAAATATACATGTACAGGGTGGGCAAAAAAAACAATACCCAAGTTTAACAATTAATATTATATGATATATGTTAAATCATGTACGATATAGCATTTTAAATATAAATCATTTCCTTATAATATGACACCATTCAATTAAAAAAACTGTTGTTTTTTTTGTCGAGTTAGATGCTAAAATTGACACCAGGGGTGTCATGAGTGACCAAATAAAATTCACTTCGGATTTCCATACTGCGAAAAATAGAAGGAAATTTGAACTTTTGTGCATTTAGTACATTTAATTAAGTTTAGTGTAAAATTCACCAATATTACTTATATATTTTGAATTAACTTTCAATTGTGTATTACTCTTAAATAAATTTAAAATGATTCATTCAAGCATTTGGAAATTTGGGAATTTTCCTTTTTTGATTTTTGGTCACAACTGGTGTCGATTTTAGGCTTTAACTCCAAAAGAAAACAAAAGTTTTTCTATCAGATGGTGTCATATTGTAAGATAAGAAAATGATTTATCATTAAAATGATACATAATACATGGCATGGTTTAAGATATATTGTATGAACCATTCATCCTTAAACTCAGGTATTGTTTTTTTGATGTCCACCCTGTATGTATCATCGAGTCTGACTTTCAGGTTAAATTGTCTTGTAAAATGGCCATTGGGATGAAATATGCATGTATATTATGAGCCAGAAAAGGGCCTCATTTCTCGAAATAAATCTAGAGCTAATCAAGCCATTAAACACTGCCATGTTACTAAAACAATTGTCTAGAAGGTTTGAATTGACTAAAAGACTATTTGTAGCATCAACCCAATGAAAAATATGAAAGGAATCACTCGTATTTTCCATTAGGCCTTGAAACCAGCCTGTTTATCAAAGTAATCCAAAAAGTCCTTGCTTAGACCAACCTTTGTAAGAAATGAAAACCTCAGTAACTCAGTATGCACATTTGAATTACCAGGAAAGGAAAGAATGGGTTAACATTAAGCATCAGACACAAGTCAAATCAATTGAGATTGCAGCAAATTGCTACATTACTGGAAAGAGCTTAAGTTGTCCCAGCTTTTAATTGAGCAAATACTGGATCAAAGCGAATACACACAAGTTCAAATCAAGCATTTTCGATAAAACAAGACAGACTAAAAGACTACATCTGTGGAAATTATCTCTTATTGACTAAGCCTAAAATATCGAAGATCATTTTCACATTCTTAGAATAACCATACACTGCTTTGTTTGTGGTATGGCAAAGATTAAACATGGTTTTATTTTTAAAAATCATTTTTTTATTCACCATGAATAAAGTACCTTGTTTATATTTCCAGTCATATTCTTAAATTTATTTAACAAACATAGAGAAAATTTAAAAGATCTATGGTAGTAAATACAAAGGTAAAAAATAATTGAAAAATATCGTTTTTGAAAATATAACATTTACTATTATGGTAATTAGGAATAACTCCTCTTGGTCTCTTAATTCATATTTCTTAGTCTATGAAATAAACAGTGCAAGAATGAGCAACTGCAGAGAGACTATTTGTAAGATATTCTACTGTATTGATCTTCTGTCCACATTTCTATACATATCCCAGCTTTAGTATAAGACAGTCCAATAATTAATGCGAATATAGAGGTTTACAGAGCAATTGATTTCGTATTGAGTCACTAAGTCAACATTTTGCATATTGTTTCCCAAGTAGGTTTTCAGATTACATTTGGAAACCTCCAGATTGGAATTAAAGCCAGTGGAAATAGAATAAATATTGGAGATGAAAATATTCCTTATCCACTGTATTGAAGAATAAAGACAAGTTAATATAAAATATGAAGTAAATGAATCAGAGTATGATGAAACTTTGTATGATTCTATATTTGATCTGTTTATTTAAAGTAAATCAAATTAAATTATTTGTGTAATATTGTATGATGGGTTTGACATATGAAAGGAGTATAATGTATGAAAGAGTGTACATAGTGTATATCCATATGTTCTCTTAAAATGTTTCTCAAATCTTTTTTTAATATTTACCTTGATTTTCTAAGATAATGTAACATGAATCTTTTTCTATTTCAGTGCTAACTTTGAGTGATCACAATTGCATTAGAACATTATCGTTGACTTATAATCACTATGGTAACACTGACAATGGCACCCTGGAGCAAATCAAAATCTGTTTGGTAGATATGAATCTTTTCATTTGGGGATTTTGTTTACTCATAATGAATGATTGCCCAAGTGCGGCAGATCTGATGAGGTCAACGTCTTTCCATTTTTGATTGAAGCCGACTTCATTAAATGTGTAACAAATGAACAATCATACAATATGGGTGAAGAACTGGATAAAATGTCACTATCCACTTTTATCAACTGATTTGGAGCTGTATATCTGGGGCAACATTGTGATAATACCTATTACAAAATGCTTGTAAAAGATTTCAGATAAGAATACTCTACTAAAAAAGATTTAATGAGAATTTATGGTACAGTATCTTATGATACACAAAAGGTGGTATTGTATGAAAAGTGTATGGTCAATAGAATCCCAAAGATGTATGCTATGATGACTGACCTTCCTACGGGAACAGCACTAGGGCCCTCTATAACCAACCCAGCTATACTCTCCTGTATAACCAGCATAGACTCCAGTACACAGCGTGTATTCTCCCCATGGGTTGACATATTAATGCTTACAGGAAATAGCCCTGCTTCCTGGTATAAGTACTCCCAACTGTAACATCAAAATATTGAATTCAACCTTAAAATTGGTCTTTTGAGTTAGGTAAACTGGGTCAACTCACCCCAAATCAACTCGAGCAAAACATTAATAGTCAAATGGTTTTTGAGTTACAAGACAAATGTCTTTCTTCTGACACCAACTTTATGTGTTTCGACTAATTGAAATCAGGAAGATTTGTCGTGTTTGGTCTCAACGTTGCCTTCATTTGGGTATTCATTAGGCAGACTTAACAAGACACGTCCTGTAATTTAGTTATACCATTGCTCTTTCTACTGAACTGAATTCATCTGGATAATAAAGTCTGTTAATCTACAGAATATCATTTTATAGTTTCAGAAATTAGTGGCATACTGTTAGACATAACTTGGTCTGGAATCTTTATCATCATATACGATAACTAAAATGATTTGAAAAAATACCTTATTCCATCATTAGTTTCAGTACCAAGTGTACCAAGTGAAAATTGAGAACTGATCCAACCAAAAATCAAGGGTAGAAATATAGCAAATTGCAAACAAAATGAAAACAATTTTCAATTTCAAACATTACCTAATATCTTGCTCGGTGTTGAATTGCTTCGACTCTGTGTTGCCATCTCCATAGTTACTAACAACATATATTGTGTCCTGTCGCTGGAAATTCTGAAAATAAAACAAATTTATCTATTGATTTGTTGCTTTTTGAAGTACATTGAATGTGACAAGAATGGGTTTCTTGCAAAGAGATAAGACAGGAGAGTGACTTTCAACCATGATATCTGTTATTTGAAAGTCCTGGATATGTGATGAGTCACAAAATGTCTCATAAAATTGATATCTAGATATTTATATCTTAAGATTTGAATGATCTATAAATCTAATCTAAGTTCATACAGTCATGTCCTTCTCCAAATAGTCTTCCTTTAAAATAATAAAAACAAAAATATATATAAGCAGTCCCTTTTTAAAAAAAATTAGTGATAACAATCCAATCAGTTTTGCCATATCAACTAGAACTGACGCTGTATAGGTATAAATGGATAATAATACATGGATGAGTACAGTTTTGCTGAAAGTGGGACAAACAGTTTTATACTACCCTCCCATCCAAAATCATAAAAATCACAATTACAATACAATACATGAAGAGGACTTTTAAGTGCAATCATGAATAAAAACAAGAATGTTTTAACCTGATACAAGCATACACTAAGTGAAGTATGTAATAAAGAGATAACAAAACAAAGGGACAATGAAGGCAGTCATTAAAACTGCCATCAATTATTGTTCCATCTATAAGCATTAGGAAACTGCATAGAAATGTTGGGATTACAATACACTGATAATTTACAGTATTGTTAAAATGCTACTATATACAAAACAGACACACATAAATGAGTTAAGTATTCCCTGTTGGCACTCCATACAAGATTACTGAGGACGAAAAATGACAGAGCTCTCCTAAAAAGCAATGTTATTATAACCCATATGTTCTCCAATTAGGTTAGAAAGCACAGCATTATATCACAGTATCATATCAATCATATACAGACATTATATTTTTAGCATGACGAATTGTACGATTTCTACCACTGACCGTTCATGGTTGATAATACAGACATGCTCCCTAAGCGTGTTTTTATCTCTATTAATTTCATGGTTGGCTATATGGGTTGATATACTTAACCTTTTACAGTCCATCTTCTGACCGATAACAATGAAAACTATAAGCACAGAAAAAGCACTGTCCTTCCCATACAATATTAATGGGTCTAAATGATCTACTTGAAAACTTTTAATTCAACTAGCCTTATCCCAGGAATTATGCCTACGTCTATAGATTGAAGTCACTGATGTTGATTGAGATATTGCAAGAAAAATAAGACATTAACATGCAAAATGTCACCACCTGCCATTTGTTACAGACAATGGATGACAACTACCAAACACCAACTGCCGGACAACAACTGCCAAACGCTGAACACTGTCCACAAAAAGTTGGAGACCATAAGAATATGTAACCTCTTTTGGTATTGGCATAAAAACTGACATGCTTATATCAGAAACATATAAACCTACATATTAAAAACAATACATAATCATTGTCAATCTTTGGACCAGTTGTTACCTGATGGTGGATGACTGTATAAAGTCAACCAAGAAAACCCCTCTACTCGAAACGTTTAAAGTCCAAAGCCTGCCTTCAACTTATATCAAAACAGGACACCCTGCAACATTTTCCATGTAATCATGTAAAAATGGGTGTGGCATAAGCACTGACCATAGAACAATGTCTACAAACCCACTTGACTATTTCTGCATTTATACAAACCATAAATAACACAACAACTCAGTTATGTACATTGACTAAAAGACCTGAAATCCTTAATGCAGGAGAAATGTTATATACAGTATATCATTATTCAATGAGAAACACCTCAGACAGATTTAAAGGAACCTTAGCTGATCCACATTCAAGAAAGATAGCCGAGATAATCAAGAAACTATCAATCAATCTCAAAGACACTTTCTGAATTTGAAATAGCGAACATTCTTCTTTTCTTTATCTTTAGAATCCCCAACGGAAAAAACAGTAATTTAAGATTGATGATGCAAGGCCTCTCGTAACCTATCCTTAAAGGCGCATCATTAGCTACACCTACTTGACCACCATATGTATTCAAATATTTGATCGGTAAAAAACTAAAGTTTGCAAATAATCTAAGAATATTGCTACGGCTTCTCTCGATAGAATCTGTATGAGCCAATCTGATTGGTTGAGTCACATAAAAAGGAACTCATACACAGAATGAATAAATATGATTGGTTGGATCACAAAAATAGGAACTCATACACAGAATGGATGAATGAAGTAATCATTACCTGATTGGATAGGAGGTACATGTTGCTTTAAGAGAAGGGAATTGGGAATGTTTCTCATCCTAGGAGACAAATATTCATTAATGTTTGAACACAATGATGTGATCAACTATTCAACAATGGCTAAATACTCTCTTGGCCTTTAGCCAACTTTTGTCAAAGAGGGAACAGGGGTCAGTTAAAAAATCCAAGGGGAAGTTCAAATTTGACAATTTAGGCCAAAAATCACTTGAAGAGTACTCAAAATGGTGAAAAACTGCATGATTTTGATAGGATTTTTGTGCCCAGCACCCGAACCCTCCCCTTGACTACAGGCCTGATTTCAACCAATCATATTACTTATTTACTCTTCTTTATTCTCATGTGATAAGTAAGTCTATCTACTAAACACTTCATAAATAAGCAATGGTGAATCCCATACTTTTAGACTTAAGACAAAACATCAGTTCTACATTCATTATTCCTTAAATAAATCTAAAAGGTTGTTAAAACAATTGGTCCATTAGTATTTTGCCTTTTTATAACACTCCTGTGTCAAATCAAACTTGTTAGAGTGATGATTTTACACTTTGCTAAAAGCCCCAAAAAGTATAGTGAAGTGAGCAATATAATCTTCTCATATAACAATTATTCTAAGTAAAAAAATGAGACATGACATAAAGGTCATTCCTGAATATTTAACCCCCATCATGTGTGGAATCATTTTCATAAAAACATGACCAGTATGTATATTATTGACAAAATGAATCTTGATACAGCAAAATGAGTTGCTTCAGTTATTGAGATATTAGAGTTTCTCATCTTGAATTTTTGAATATTTTTGACAAGAGGCAATAAACATTTTTTGAATGAAAAAGTTTCGCTAATATTAATGTAAAAGTTGTGTTCTGGTGAATATGATAATCTCGAAATAAAAGTTAATGTCTCTATAGCTCACTAAGATAAATGCGATCTAGTATGAAAAACAATACATTTTAATCAATCTTGTTAAATGTGACAGTCGCTAGGCATACGAAGTGCTTACTTAGATTATGCTGACAGCGATAGATGGATAATACTAAGCTGAGTTGCAGAAAAAGCCGATAAGAAACACTCCCTAGCATTGATTAGTCATTATTTGTGATTGGTGGACAATATTAAAATCTGGATTGGTTAAAATGACCAATTTCGAAAGAAAAAACAGAATAAGTCAGATCCTAATCAGATTGAATACTTGTAATCGACTACTACATGTAGGCTTTTATATATGCCTTATATACAATAGAAGTAATGAAAATATGTATCTGTGTAATATATATGAAATAATTCAATGATTTTATGCAAGCTGTCCTTGTTTCATCCTAATAGTAATAGAAAAAGCATGGCAAATTGCATTAGTTTATAAAGATGAGTAAAGGGAAATGACATTGGTAAACATGACATTTGCCATGTTTTGATACAGAATGTGTAAAATACATAAGGGTTGTGACATTAAGACTGTTCTCTATGCCCCCCTTGTCACTGTATAATGATTTTATTAAACAAATGAACCACATATTAACATTCTACTGGTTTCTAGATTAGCCTCCTTCACACAGTCCTACAACTAATATATTCACATACTACATCTGACATTTTGGAATAATCTCTCCTAATGATGAATTTACATTTTCAGTCGCATTACATTTACATTCGCGTCCCCTCAGTGTGCATAGGTGATACTTTTATAGATATTAATGGGTAGGCTGACGTTATTTGAGGGAAAACATGGTAAAAACACGAACTGGTGCAATTTTAAATGGCAAAGGCCAGAGAATGTATTAAAACAAGGTATTTATTACATCGCAATAAATTCTACATTAATTAGACAGCAACACGCAGATCCCTTTCGTAAACTCATCATTGATGAGGGTCAATATTTTCAAACGAACAAACCATAGGTGTGAAAGTGTTTTGTTTGCTAAAACAGAATAGATATAGCTGATTAATACAAATGAGTATTAATGAAATTGATTTTGCTGTCTTAATTCGTCTTAATATTTACAAAGATATTGCAAGTTTTTACATCAAAGGACAAAATGAAACAACATTTGACAACTGAATAATAATGTTACATTTTTAAATCACAACAAATTTGTTTCATACACATTCAAATTGTATAGTGTATTTTCCAAGGATATCCATGTAACATGTTTTAGTGGAACCTAATATAGCAATATGCAATATGGTTATCATAAGCAGTGAAAAATGAATAAAAGGGTAATAACAAGGGGTTCTATTTTGATTAGACCTGACTTGAGACCTTATGCTGTACTTTATGATTGCAATAAACTCAAAGTCTATCGTAACTTTTGATTTGGACATATCTTATGTCCAGGGCATGATTTTGTACTTGGTCATTAAAGCCTTAATTTGGTTACACCATACAAAAATGGACAACAAGGAAAGATGTTCTTTTTACAAGCTATTACGAAAAGAACCTGAATTAAAAACCAACTTAAAAACAAAACAATTAAACCACTTTATCACACATTCTATTAAAAAGTAAGTCCTACTTACCTTGTATTTCAAGAGATCCCCAATGTGAGCTTAATTAATAAGTAAAGCATGCAAGTAGGTCACTATGTTAATATAAAAAACTATATTGACTAATTCAAACATGGGTCATTCTCCATAAAAATAGAGTGAGTTACCATTCAAATAAATCTCACAGGTTTGCTACATCAATGGCTGCTGAGTTTTAAGAATTGTAATTTACGATACTCTAAAGAAATGGCCTCACGAAAAGCCTAGTATGAAAACTGTATGTAGAGTTAAGATATAATACAAAATGATGTATGAACTGAAGCATGCCTATATCACATTTGTTTTAATTCACATCAGAGAAATTCAAATTTATATCTCAATTTCCTTGGGAACAAGATAGCTTACATTCTGGATATCTTCAAAGTAGATATAATACAACAAAGAAAAATCTTTTGATGCAATCTACAGAAAATCAGAATCTTATTAAACATCTTGTAGGAAAAAAATTTCCATAGATATGTTGTATCGAAAGCAATCTGATGTAAAGCCCCATAAATGCATCAACTTGCAGCAGTAGGTCATTCATTTGCATAGTAGGTCATTCATTTGCATAGTAGCCAATTCATTTGCAGAGTAGCTCATTCATTTGCATAGGCTAATTAGGTTAATGGACTTAAATTCACTGTTCATCATGAAGCATCTTGCAACCATCTAAGATGAGAAATCACAGAAAAACAGTGACACAATTTTGTAACCTAACTATAAGTGGTATTAGGCATCTTATAAAGGATCAAATAAGAAGATTCAAGGGCATCTCAGTTCTTTCCATACCCTTGATTTGGGCTATAGAATTGTTGGAACTGTGCTAACAAATTCAGTTATGCCATAGCTGCAATAGCAGTGAAGTCCGATCTTGAAGGATGGATTCATCCAGTTTACAAGTAAATAAGTAAAGCAGATGATTGCACAGAGTGAGAAGCCCTTCGTAATCCTCTATGAAATCAGCAAGTCATGTGCACAATAGCAGTAAAAACATGAATTTAAGTTCATTGGTCTTTACTGATTGTTATTTTACTAAATACTAAAATTAGAATGAGTGGGATTCTCACTATTGCCTCAGTGACATTTGATCTATGGCGACCATACAGAGGCTGTAGCTTCCCAAAATCGTCAATATGTGGCATAAAATATAGGGATAAGCAGTACATTGTAGATTTTCTATATATATTTTGTGAAGCTACGGCCGCCGTAGAGTAAATGTGACTGAGGCTTTATGCATATATTTTCTCCTTTTCATTGAGTATTCAGGGTTCTCAGTGCCAGTATTCAAGGCACATAACCCTCTCCCCCAGTTCCCCCCTCCCCCTATGTACATACCTGTAGTGTAAAAACACACTGGGACCCCAGCTTTAATATTCTAGGATGATTGAGAACAGGGCAGGTTGACCTTGGGCTGGTGGCCTCTACCCCTAATAGAGCGGCACTAGTCACATCCACTTCAACACTGACTTGCTTATAACTCACTGGAACATAGCGAAATCAATATTTTAGCTCATAATTCAGATGTAATTACAATAAATTGCAGAAACGATTGCAATTATCAATCCAGAGAATTGATTTTGTATTCCAATGTATTGCGTAAACCATTGGCCTTTCACTGCCTCATTTGAGGTATATAACTTTCAAATCAGATACATGTACTATAGATTCTCCCTATGCAGAGTTATTGCATTATTTTTAAAAAATTAGTGCTTCTGAAATACATTTCACTCAAAAGTCTCTATTATCCTTTGATTACATATAATTATTTCTTCTGAGTATCTTATTGCATCTGAATGATTCAAACAGCATTACAATAGAATCAATAAAAATCACACTCATATTTTGTTTATTCATTGTGATTTGTTTTCACCATTATTTACAATTCATATTTTTCTCAATAAAAGGCAATAATAAACTCTATTTTCATTTTCTACATGTAGGTGTCAATCAAAACTCATAAAGATGATTGATGAACTATAGTTTGAATAAAGTCAATGACGATTATAAAGACAAGATGATTCTGAAGGATGTCTACAATAGTATTTGAATATTACTTGGTTGAATGACAAAACTCTGGATCGATAATTCAATCCTGACTAGAAATGTTTATATTCTCTGACATCCAAGCTAAAATAACATGAATAGACAAAAGGATACCCTTGATAAAAATTCCATGGTGGTCCTGCATTAAAATGCAAAAATGGAGTAAAATGAGGTATTCACTCATATTAAGAAACTGTAAGAAATGTCAGAAAGTGTGGAAATTATATGTCAGAAAGAGTGGAAATCATATGTCAGAAATTTGGAAATTGTATGTCAGAGAGTTTGGAAATTGTATGTCAGAAAGTGTGGAAATTGTATGTCAGAAAGAGTAGAAATTGTATGTCAGAAAGTGCGGAAATTGAATGTCAGAAAGTGTAGAATTTGTATGTCAGAAGGTTTGGATATTGTATGTCAGAAAGTTTGGAAATTGTATGTCAGAAAGTGTAGAAATTGTATGTCAGAAAGTGTGGAAATTGTATGTCAGGGAGAGTGGAAATTGTATGTCAGAAAGTGCGGAAATTGAATGTCAGAAAGTGCAGAAATTGTATGTCAGAAAGTTTGGAAATTGTATGTCAGAAAGTGCAGAAATTGTATGTCAGAAAGTTTGGAAATTGTATGTCAGAAAGTGAAGAAATTGTATGTCAGAAAGTGAAGAAATTGTATGTCAGAAAGTGTGGAATTTGTATGTCAGAAAGTGCGGAAATTGAATGTCAGAATGTGCAGAAATTGTATGTCAGAAAGTTTGGAAATTGTATGTCAGAAAGTGTAGAAATTGTATGTCAGAAAGTGTGGAAATTGTATGTCAGAAAGAGTGGAAATTGTATGTCAGAAAGTGCGGAAATTGTATGTCAGAAAGTGTGGAAAGTGTATGTCAGAAAGTGCGGAAATTGAATGTCAGAAAGTGTAGAAATTGTATGTCAGAAAGTTTGGAAATTGTATGTCAGAAAGTGTAGAAATTGTATGTCAGAAAGAGTGGAAATTGTATGTCAGAAAGTGTAGAAATTGTATGTCAGAAAGTTTGGAAATTGTATGTCAGAAAGTTTGGAAATTGTATGTCAGAAAGTGTAGAAATTGTATATCAGAAAGAGTGGAAATTGTATGACAGAAAGTGTGAAAATTGTGTGACCAGAGAATATTAAAAATGGATATCACCCGTGCTTGCTCTGTTATGAAACTCACTTTCATCTGTGAAAGTGTGGAAAGTGTATGTCAGAAAGTGCGGAAATTGAATGTCAGAAAGTGTAGAAATTGTATGTCAGAAAGTTTGGAAATTGTATGTCAGAAAGTGTAGAAATTGTATGTCAGAAAGTGTAGAAATTGTATGTCAGAAAGAGTGGAAATTGTATGTCAGAAAGTGCGGAAATTGAATGTCAGAAAGTGCAGAAATTGTATGTCAGAAAGTGTGGAAATTGTATGTCAGAAAGTTTGGAAATTGTATGTCAGAAAGTGCAGAAATTGTATGTCAGAAAGTTTGGAAATTGTATGTCAGAAAGTGAAGAAATTGTATGTCAGAAAGTGTGGAATTTGTATGTCAGAAAGTGCGGAAATTGAATGTCAGAATGTGCAGAAATTGTATGTCTAAAAGTGCAGAAATTGTATGTCAGAAAGTGCAGAAATTGTATGTCAGAAAGTGTGGAAATTGTATGTCAGAAAGAGTGGAAATTGTATGTCAGAAAGTGCGGAAATTGAATGTCAGAAAGTGTAGAAATTGTATGTCAGAAAGTTTGGAAATTGTATGTCAGAAAGTGTGGAAATTGTATGTCAGAAAGTTTGGAAATTGTATGTCAGAAAGTGTGGAAATTGTATGTCAGAAAGAGTGGAAATTGTATGACAGAAAGTGTGAAAATTGTGTGACCAGAGAATATTAAAAATGGATATCACCCGTGCTTGCTCTGTTATGAAACTCACTTTCATCTTCGTGTAAACTCAATTTCTCCGACCCAAGGGATTAAAAACATAGCCATACTAACAACGCAGACGAAAAACTGCCACTGTTAATCTGAGAAAAATCTTAGATTATTGACACTCAACTCTCTGGACATAGATTAGAGCGAACACAATTTGTAAAAAATACTGTGAGGTATAAATTCTACATTAATAACCAGCTGGATTACTGTAATTTTGTTAGCCATTTCAATCGTCACGTTCCTGCTGACAATTGCATTTCAAGCCCAAACACCTAGATCAATAGTTTCTGGATCTTGTATGCTATTTTCAATTGGTGTTCAAGTAATTATAAAACTGTTGTGTTTCTAATGAAACACTGATGATTATTGCATGCAGGAATAATCTGTTCCAGTAAGTTTGCTTGAACAAACGCTTGGGTAATGAAATGTATAAACAGCTCAAAGCAATTAATGGATACACTATCCCCTGATCCAATATAAATTACTAGAACCCTGATTATGGCTTGGGAGTGTGTCATACTTCTCTCTCTCTCTCTCTCTCTCTCTCTTGTGACCATCCACATATGAACATCCACTGATCAAATGTAACAAATATCATAGCATGAAATCTCCTTATCATTCAGGTCAATAGCCAGTTTAGCAGGACAATATGTGTGGTTTATTTTAATATACACTAGAGCAAAAGACATGTCCAGATGAAAGAAAAATTTTCAGATTCAAGAAAATACGAGAAAAATGTTTTGGCAGGTGAGGTTTGGGATTTGCTTGCTTATATTTCTATAAGCTTTCCTTATTATGCCCGATATCAAAGATGAATGTTGAGTAATTTTCAAAACAATGGTCAAGATATTAGAGTCAATTTGGTTACAAGGTATTAATGATATATATTAATTATATTCCAAAGGCATAAAAAAGACTATTTTACAAAATGATTAACATTTTATATGAAAATTTTCCCTATATCATCAATTCAACACAAAACATAAAATCCCAAATAGCACTATTACAAGATTCTCACCCACCCCTCCCATTATTATCACTAAACTCACCTCTTCTTCAATCAATTGCTATTACTAGATTTACCCCTTCTAGGCTATCACCCCCTGCATGCAAGGCTCATTCAACTGCCAGTGCTAATGCAATTGCATCTTATAAGGTTTCCTGATTTTAATGCACTTACGGAAGATGAGCTCATAATTTCATTTAGCATCTCTTCCTAATCATTTGTTGATGGTGTGTTCACATTTAGAATTATGCTCGCAAAAGGGTTACGCCACTTTATGGACTTTTTCAGGTACATTAAACATGTTTCTTTAGCAGTTGCCATAACAGTAGACTATCTCACTGTCTTATTTTCTTAATTTTGATATCATTCGTGAAATATGTAGAGTCGAAATGAAAAGGAAAGAGCCCTTCACAAGACTAAGGAAAGTCATCACCAAAAAATAAATAATAAAAAAACATGATAACTTTTTCACTTCCACACAAAATTGTTGACCTCACAAGAGGTTAACTGTCTTTAATTGATAATTATGTGAAACAAGCCAGTCCTAATTTTAAAAAAGTTTTGGAATAAACAATCAAAACATCAAAATTGAGTATGTGAATTTATGTACAGATAGAAATACTTACCTAAGTTTTCAACTGTTACGTTTACAATGTGTTTCCCTAGACTGGAGAAAGCATGTGTAAATATTGGTAGTTTTGTAACATGTGGTGGGTCACTCTCAGCTAGCCATGTCAACATCAGACTTTCATCTATTTGTATCACCCCTGAAAATAACAAGTGAAGAATATGAAGTAAGCATTTCATGCATTTGTATTTTTATTATTTTTTCTTTCAGTATAAGTGGCTGCACAAGAAATTGTTGACTTCCTTGTATAATACTAGACAACAGCAACGCCAAATGTGTCATTAGACAGATGTGCCATGCTTATAGTATTCACACACTAAATATGAACAAAATCGCTCCACTACTTTTTCGAGTTACAATAAAATACGTTAAAATGGCAGCCATTTTTCAAAATGGCCACCTTCTACCAAAAGTGTCATTAGACAGTGTGCCATGCTTATAGTATTCACAACCAAATATGAACAAAATCGCTCCACTACTTTTTGAGTTACAGCAAAAATCGTAAAATAACGAGTAAAGGCCCCCATTTTTCAAGATGGCTGCCATGTGCTTCTTTAATATCTACATTTCTAGCTTTATCAATGTCCTATATAGTTTTTTTACATTTAAAACATATTGCTATTACACTTTTACATATTGCACCTAAATTACTGTAAAATCAGCATTAAAATGGCCACCATTTTTAAATGAGCGGCCATTTTGAAAATCGGCTTTCAAGCAGAACTTCTACACCCATAGGGTAAATATGGGCAAAATATGAACAAAATCGGACCAGTATTTGAGTTATTGCCTGGACGGACGGACGTATGAACGGACGGAGGCAGTCCCTATATCCCTCCAAACTTCGTAACACAGTGATTAATATCATACTTTGAAGAGCAAAACAGCCACAATGTAATTTACCCAGCATGCCCAAGACCTAATCAAATCTTGGCACTTGTCTGCTCTCATATATGTATAAATTTCAAGTTGACAAATATGCAGTTTTCCTAGAATTTGATTACAAGATTTATGGGGTGCCAGCCTGCCAAAAGCTCAAAGACAAATTCCCAGTAATATAATAAATAAAACGGATGTAACAACTTCCATAAAGTTAAATTCGATGGCATTTTTGGCCTTTTTTCAAATTTCCCTTTCATTCAAACTTCAAGCAAAAATCAGATTTCTATGGCATATTCAATCTGAAATCTAACACAAACATGACTCTATTTGTAGACTACATATCTTCACTTGGTTTGAGAGTAAGGAGATACCAAACAAATCAAACAAAGAATGGAATTCATTTCCATGTTAGACTTCCCCTTTAATATCAATCAGCAGCCTATGAGCAGGAAAACCATGTCCACAAAATGAAGAATTGCGAATACCATAATATGTTTGTTGAAGATTGCAATATTGTATTATTTATTACATCTATTCCCGTCTATAAAGTGAGATTGTAGATAAATACAATGGCATTAAATACCCCCATTTACTCATACGCAGTAGAACAATTCCCCTTTATGGTCCAGGAAATTGAAGTGAAATAAAAGCGCCTGATTAAACTTGCCGCATCTGAGATTCCGCTATAATTGCATCTCAGTTGAAGCTCGTAACATTTCATCATTTATTGTATTATTTTTTACTTCATAACCATGATTGAACAGCTCATTATGAGATAGCTGTGTTACTAATGAGATTTCATATATAGCTCCTGCTCAATAATGTCATTTTAAGAACATAGTTAAAGCTGCGTACGCATAAAAATACTGTTGTTAGAAAATTTTCCCAAAGGTCAATGTTTTACAAAGTTTTTTATAAGATGGGATACAGTTTTTGTAAAAACAATCACAAAATAGCTCAAAGTTGACTGATGTAATGGAAATATACCCAAAACTCTGATAATTTTTAATCTCGGTGATTTTACTTCATATTGAGGGGCCTGAGTACACCCTCAAATGGCGCAGTGATGTCTATTTGACATACCCGATTACCAGTATGATTTTCATACCTAGAAACCTAAGATGTCAATTTGAAATAAATCAAAGCTTTACTCTTCAGTTTATAGGATTATTGGCCACGATATCAGTGACATGATTAATTGCTTAGAAATTTAAAGCCAATCCAAACAAGACCTTTTGAGTTTTTGATGATCAAAGTTAGCAGTCAGTGGAAAATTAAGTTAGATTTTGAACCCAAATCATAGGCAAATATTCTGTGAGATTATGATCCATAAAAATGTAAGGAATCTAAAATAGGTATCAAATCACAAATGATAGAATCATCTATTGATCAACCAGAACAACAGCAACGCCAAAGCGTAGTGAATCCCATCGAAAAGAAATGGCTGGCATTTTTACAAACGAAATATATAGCAAATATCATAAAACAACACACCAGAAAGGCCACCATTTTCAAAATGGTTGCTCACTAGCCAAGTTGTCATCAGAAGAAATAATATGCTTTTTAGTAGCCACCTTTAAATTTTTTGAAAAATCGCACACATGTACTTGTACAATAACATACATAAAAATGGTGGCCATTTTTCAAAATGGCCGACTACTCCCCAAAATTTTATTAGACAATGTGCCATGCTTAGAGTATTCACATATCAAATATGAACAAAATCGCTCCACTACTTTTCGAGTTATACTAAAATACGTTAAATTGGCGGCCATTTTTCAAAATTCTTTTCAAATTGGCCACCTTCTACCAAAAGTGTCATAAGACAGTGTGCCATGCTTATAGTATTCACATACCAAATATGAACAAAATCGCTCCACTACTTTTCGAGTTATAGTAAAATACGTTAAAATGCCGGCCATTTTTCAAAATTTTTTTCAAAATGGCCACCTTCTACCAAAAGTGTCATAGGACAGTGTGCCATGCTTATAGTATTCACATACCAAATATGAACAAAATTGCTCCACTACTTTTCGAGTTATAGTAAAATACGTTAAAATGGCGGCCATTTTTCAAAATTTTTTTCAAAATGGCCACCTTCTACCAAAAGTGTCATAGGACAGTGTGCCATGCTTATAGTATTCACATACCAAATATGAACAAAATCGCTCCACTACTTTTCGAGTTATAGTAAAATACGTTAAAATGGTGGCCATTTTTTAAAATGGCCGCCATGTACCAAAAGTGTCTTTAGACAGTGTGCAATGTTTATAGTATTCACATACCAAATATGAACAAAATTGCTCCACTACTTTTCGAGTTACAGAAAAAATTGTAAAATAACGAGTAAAGGCCGCCATTTTTCAAGATGGCTGCCATGTGCTTTTTTAATATCTACATTGTAGCTTTATTAATGTCCTTTATAATTTTTTTACATTTAAAACATATTGCTATTACAGTTTTACATATTGTACCTAAATTACTGTAAAATCGGCACTAAAATGGCCGCCATTTTGAAATGAGCAGCCATTTTGAAAATCGGCTTTCGAGCAGAACTTCTACCCAATTAGGGTATACGTGTACAAAATATGAACAAAATCAGGCCAACGGTATTTGAGTTATTGCCCGGACGGACGGACGTACGTACGGACGGACGGAGGCGTTCCCTATATCCCTCCGAACTTCGTTCGATGGGATAATAATACTTCTTAATTCCATATTTACATAATTGACTTCGGAATATTCTTTCATATTAGATTTCCAAGAGGGATGTGATACAGTACGTTTCATCATTTTTATTAAATTTATACCTTAATCAATAATGTTAAATCTTGATTATAACTTTCATCAATTCTTATATTACTCTTGAAGGGCAAATAGAGACAGATTTTGCATAAACCATGGCAAGTGAACAAGTTTGAATTCCCCAGGCAGAAGTAGAGTTATTAAACAATATTTATTCTTACTCTGATCAATTAGTTCATGTTGCTATAGTAACACGTCAGAACTGAGTAATTGAGGTTCAATTCACCATTTGATGAGATTCCACGTAAGAAATGGCGATATGAGTGAAGAGAATAAAAGTAATCAAAAACTATTATTAAGTGAAGCCTGTGTTGGTGAACACCTCTCTCAAGCAAACTACATGTAGAAATTGAACATTCTTTTTTTGCAATGAATTTTTCCCTGTTAAATTACATTTCTATAATGAACATAATACCTTTTGTGAAATATGAACTCTAAATGCTTGATAAATTCATAGAATTCATCTTTAGCATATTTCTCATTCCCATTAATTTATAAACCAGAGTATAGAAAGATCAAAGCTTCTCTCTTATGCACAACAACTACAGTACATGTATATATTTCAGCCTCAATAGAATATAATATATATTTTGTATAAAAACATAAAACTCTGGGCCTCAAATGAGAATTTTAAGCTGTATAAATCTAAAAATGATTTATTTTATTGTTCCTGAAGATTGCTACTAAGTATCAAAATAGTGATTTCAAGGAAATAAGACCTAGAAATATATTAGCATGTTGTAAAAACTCATATTATATCATTAACGCAACAAGCTTGAAAGAGACAAGACAAACAAAAAAATGAAAAAGCATCTATCCCAAAAATGACAATGCTTAATATGATTTAGCATTTACAATGGTGAAAGTTAGATATGAACATTTGCAATGCTATATCTGGCTCTTCTGTAAAATTATGCAATAATTTCTCTTCTTAATAAACAAGTTGCCACTGATGATATTCCTTCACCTCATATGTCTAGCTGTCATACAGTGTTAACATTTTGATCAGCCACTTTCCTAAACCCCAAAGGCAAATATTGATACTCAAGAATTACTGTCAGCCAGAACTATTTTCTGCATGCAATTAAAGTGATGTAATTTCCCTAATAATTCTACAATTCTGAAACCATGAAACTAACATCAAAGGAGTTTGGTTGCTTAGTATTCATTGCAACGGTTTTTCTAATTTTGTGCATTAATTATACGTTACAAAATTAACTTAGACTAAAATCATAATAAAACACAAGCATCTACTCTACTCTACTTTTTGTGTCTCTAAAATAATTAATCTTTCAATCAATGCAAAATCCGAAAAACATGTTTATTAAAATAACAACTGTGTTTATATTCACACTGACAAAAGAACAAATATGAATCTAATTGAAAAAGCATGTCAAATAAATCTGTGTTAAAAGTACTGATTTAGAGCTATAGTTCTATAGACAACAAAGCCGATTTCATATTAATCCTTCCTCCCTCGCATAAATCTTTCCTTCAATATGCTTTCTTTTACATGCCGTTTGCAAGATTGCAATAGACTTTAATAATTTTCCGAGCTATATAGAATGGCGCATAAATTATGATGACCTGCCTTGATAAGGTGAAATATCTTTATACATAGGTTTATGGTAAATTCATAGTTTTAAAAAATTCTCTTTTAATAGAACATTACTCTTTATGTGGATTGCTTGTGACTTGATTTTAATAGTTCTTATAAATTTCTGATAACTATAATTGAGATTATGCTTACCCCCAGTCCTCAATATGAAGGTCACATTGGCATCTTTCACCGTGTCACCAACAAATTCAATTGTGACATCATCTATTTGTCGCTGCACCTGTACATCTGTTGTCGTGGAGATGGCCGACACATTGTTGTAGGCATAGATGGTAACACTGTGTGTCCCTGGTGAGGGAAACTTATGTGTAACAGTAACGGACAGGTTTACAACATCACTCAGGACCTTTTTACGTCCAGTACCAAAGTCCATATCAAACTGAACATCTGTTCCACTGGCAACCATGGCACTCACAGCTGAGAATTCTCCTAATAATGTAGGCCCATCAGTAGTAACTAGCACGGTGCTAACAACCTCTTGCACAGAAAACAAATGGGGAAAACTCTGACTTACGTAGTCAAGCATGTTGTGGCAAGTCACCGTGACGTTATACTTCCCAGGCTTGATAAATGTATGATTAGCGATGGAGAAATTGTTTCCGTGCACAATATGGGTGTCTTTAGATAATGGGTCGGAAAAGTCCCATATATATTCAACATTGCTCCCTGTAGCTAAGTCAACTCTGAACAAGGCCTCAACATCAGTTGCAATATATTTTTCATGACTAGATGTTATAAACAAGCCTGTTATAGGTTCTTGTATATGAATAGTAATATCGGTTTCTTCCCAATTTAAAATATTCTCTGCCCGCAGATGTACCACATATACCCCAGGGTCGGGGAAACTATGATAGAAAAGGTTCGAGTAACTCACAAACTTTTCACCTAGAGTTAAATTTTGTTGTTTAACTGACCAATGAAACGTGACATTATCTGATCGGGTTACAAATGAAGCATCAAACATAACTGTTGACTCAGTAGCTGCATGCCAGGGAGATGTTACACGTATCCCTCGAATTCTGTTCATCACAATCAATGGTCTCAGAAGACTAGCCTGGGCCTCTGTAAAATTATTGTGTACTTTAATATCTGGCACATACTGTCCTGGTATTGTATATGTATGCTCAATTTCCACTTTCAATGTACATCCCTCACCATAACTTGCAACCAGGAAAATCTCATGGCCTGGACTTGGGTACTGCATACCTAGGAGCGTCCCATTTTGGTCACGCAACACAAAAGTTGCTTTTGTGCCATCTCCAAACTGAACATCCAATAAAGAGTCCTTCCTGGATGTTGTTACCATGGATATGTCAAAATATGTGATTTCACCTGGTGTTGTGAGATTGCTGGACTTTGGTGAAAATGTGATGTTCAATTTTCTGATCTCTCTGTGCATCACAACCTGGAATTAAAACGTAAATCCTTGCTTTAATAAAGAAATAAAAAAACAAGGTTATTCAATGGAAACTTTCTAGACAAGCTGATACCTTCAATATAGGTTATGATGAAAATTGAACATCCTAGTAATATCTTCTCAACATTTACTAAGGCAAATCTTCAATTGGGACAAAATATTCAAAACTGGTAAAAATATGATGCATCCAAGTATTTTATGATTTAATGAATTCTCATCTGTGTGGGTATAATGGTGTATAAGATATGTGGTGCCTAGTGTAGCTGCGTAAAATCCAGCACCTAGATGTCGAATAATGAGTTTTGAGAAATATCCTTTTTATTCATCAATCTCTCCAAATGTTTCTATATTGTCAAGTAGCATGTTTTCTGCGTAACCACAAATAAATGGAATGGAACATTGGGAAGAGGAACCAATGAAAAGGGATAGGGTTTTCATGAGTAAGATGAGAAAAAAAATTATGTAGAAATGTCAGAAAGTATATAGAAATGCAATAACCCGAGAATATTTAGGAATTTGTTTGTAGTTCATGGCATTCTACTAATAACAAATAATGAAATAATTAGTTACAAACAATCTACTAATTATCATCCTCTGAATGAAGGGATCCAGTGATTATTATACACAATATACTTTTTACAAATACCCCAACTTATTACAAATACTCAAACGTCAATCTGATGAACCCAGAGATACATGACAATATAAAGGAATGAATATTAACATTAGCCATATACCAGCAAAACAAATAATATTTTTATTTAAATGATAAACATCGTAGCTAGTAACCATGAACAGAATACAGAATATACGAGATACAGGTGAAATATCAGATGAGTCCCGTTGAGTATATGAACATGTAGCAAATTTTGGCTAATGACTCCCCTGAGCAGAAAGTGAGGAGCTAAGGAGGATACCACGGAATAATTTCAGGATATAACAAGAGTTATTCACCCTTATTGTCAGTATTAACAATTACGAGAATAGAATGTATATAGAAGGTTTTTCAATGCATCTTGGAATAATAAGATTACACGGAATCCCTTTATAATTCCACTCTCCCGGGAACACACTTTCAGTAGATTAGACTCATGGTTGCGAGAAATGTTTTGCTGAGATAAATGTCATGATATATTTGCATGTCAGACAGAAAATTGAAATGTAATAATTAGTTTCCCAATATCATCACTAGTTCTGTACTCAAGTGATGAGACTACAATACAGTAACTGTTGAACCAGTGTATTCAAGAAAGGTAATAAATACAATTCAATGAAAGTGAAAAATTTAATTCGGAAACTATCAATAAGCAAATGAGTATAACTTTAGATGTTATTGTTACAAACTGATTGAAACTACTTTGACAAAGAAAGGAAATTATATATCATTTATTAGATAGACTTGAATGTTTGGTATATAGGCTTGAATGTAAGTCTGATACATGAGATCTGATGCTATACTGAGTTCAATGTTTGGTAAGATGTTTTCAACATTTGATACATACACTTATCAGTCAATCAGAATTGAATCGAGGAAAATTGCGCATTCATGTGTTATATAAGTTAATCCGGGGTATCTAGATATAGAGATCTGTAAAAGTGCCACTTAAATCTGATTGAATACATACAGGGGTGATATCAATATCAAAGCATTGAAGAAATTATTGACGACTATTTTCCGATACCCTGAGCCAAAAACCTAGAACCTCTGATTAATGTAGATGATTTTACAGGTGGCTGTTATGGTCTTTTATGGGGTCCATTTTTGGAACCGTTGTAACTACATTTGGTTTAAAAGTCATTGTTCATCAAAAAGTAGACAAGGGTTTTCTTCGAATTGTACGTTAAGATCGTCGTACCAAAATCAAACCCATGAATATGAAGAAAATAGCACCTTTGTAGGGAAGAATCAAATTCTGATTTTAAGTTGACCTAATCTGATTGGGTAAGGGCCAATCAAAGGGAATATCCCTTATTCAAAGAGTCTAGTACATGAAGTTATCTTATTAAGACCAGGGTTATTTTCAGGAAGAATAGAAATAGACATAAAATACCCACACATTTCCTTGGTTCAATATACTTAAATTGTAATCACATATAGTCTGTTAGCCCACTCATAGCACTATAAAAGCTCATACTAGTATTGATTTCAACTAACTCAATTAGTTTTGAGAAGGAAAATGATGATCCATGTGTAATTAGATATTGCTGGAGCAGACATCTTATAAACATATTGATAAATTACCTATATTGATACAGTCCCTGATATATCCTACTGATAAGATTTTTCAACTTATAAATTGATACAGCCCATGATATGTTATATGTTGTATAGTTCTGATATAAACCCTTAACTTATATTATTGGTACAGCCCCTGATATACTGATATGACCCCTTAACTTATATTATTGGTACAGCTCCTGATATACTGATATGACCCCTTAACTTATATTATTGGTACAGCTCCTGATATAACCCCTGATGTATGCTTCTGATGTGGCCCCATTAAGAATGCTTTTGATACATTCCCTGATATATGGTTCTGATATGGTACCCTGACATATACTTTTGATAGAGCCCCTGATATATGATTCTGATATGGTCCCATTCAATATGCTTTTGATACAGCCCCTGATCTATGGTTCTGATATCATCCCCATAGCCTATTGATACAGCCCCTGATATATGGGTCTGAAATCATCCCCTATGCTATTGATACAGCCCCTGATATATGGTTCTGATATGGCCCCCTTAAGTATGCTATTGATACAGCCCCCTAAAGTATTTAATTGCTGTTTGGAGTCGGTAGGATTTGGGATTTGCGAATAAATCAATATGTCTCAGCAAAGTAATTTGCAAACCTATATAAACTGATCGCAACCTCTTGCTATTCCGGGCTAAAGGCTCATGATGCAAAATAACTGAAAACATTTAACCTCACAAGTTCTCATTCGAAGAATTGAGAAAATCCTCCAGAGGAAAAATCAATCTCAAATGAGTCAGACTTGAAGCCTGTTTCCTTAGTATCTTCCTATTGAACTGTTTGTTTTTACTTTGTGATTTTCATAGGCCATTTCATCCACTTCAATCATAGCTTAGCTTGTTTGCAATCATGCATTGGCATTATTCCTTCCAGATCATGGATTTAATTGACATTTATTCTAGACTGTACATGATTTAAGGAGAACTTGCATGCTACCTTACCTCCTCCATAGCAATTATCATCTCCTTAAAGGAGTGTATACTATCATTGAAAGCATCTAAAGCATTACACATAATTTTATTCTATCATGACCAAATGATCTCTGTAGAACATTTAGGAATTCTTGAATCATGGTTCTCTTATTATGGCATCATGATTTAAATGAAGCTATCTTTTAAAGTAATAAAAGAGTACAGAAAAAGTAATGTTCTAATTTCTGCTGTCCATATACTCTGATTATACGTATTGAGTAGATTGGTGGATTTTCTCAAATTTAAAGATCATAGACAAAGTGGATCTCGTCTTTAAGTTAGTGGATGAAGTAACGCATGAGATATACAGGGTGATCCAGAAGTAACGTCAAAGACATTGTAATTTCAAAAGTATTCATCAGATCTTCATGAAATTTGGTATACATGTACCCACAACATTTCTGAGTTACCATCTCAAAGATTGGAATTCAATCATTTCATTGGTTGAAATTATGGTTGCTATAGTAACCCGATATCGCGTAACCCGGGGCAAATTACTTAACGTGTAATGCGTAATCTCAAAATATCAACAAGATCTGAAATTGTTATATCCTCAACATTTTATTTCACAACAATATAAATCATACTATTGCACAGTTACTAATAATAGTTCATGTGTAATTAGATATTGCTGGAGCAGACATCTTATAAACATATTGATAAATTACCTATATTGATACAGTCCCTGATATATCCTACTGATAAGATTTTTCAACTTATAAATTGATACAGCCCATGATATGTTATATGTTGTATAGTTCTGATATAAACCCTTAACTTATATTATTGGTACAGCCCCTGATATACTGATATGACCCCTTAACTTATATTATTGGTACAGCTCCTGATATACTGATATGACCCCTTAACTTATATTATTGGTACAGCTCCTGATATAACCCCTGATGTATGCTTCTGATGTGGCCCCATTAAGAATGCTTTTGATACATTCCCTGATATATGGTTCTGATATGGTACCCTGACATATACTTTTGATAGAGCCCCTGATATATGATTCTGATATGGTCCCATTCAATATGCTTTTGATACAGCCCCTGATCTATGGTTCTGATATCATCCCCATAGCCTATTGATACAGCCCCTGATATATGGGTCTGAAATCATCCCCTATGCTATTGATACAGCCCCTGATATATGGTTCTGATATGGCCCCCTTAAGTATGCTATTGATACAGCCCCCTAAAGTATTTAATTGCTGTTTGGAGTCGGTAGGATTTGGGATTTGCGAATAAATCAATATGTCTCAGCAAAGTAATTTGCAAACCTATATAAACTGATCGCAACCTCTTGCTATTCCGGGCTAAAGGCTCATGATGCAAAATAACTGAAAACATTTAACCTCACAAGTTCTCATTCGAAGAATTGAGAAAATCCTCCAGAGGAAAAATCAATCTCAAATGAGTCAGACTTGAAGCCTGTTTCCTTAGTATCTTCCTATTGAACTGTTTGTTTTTACTTTGTGATTTTCATAGGCCATTTCATCCACTTCAATCATAGCTTAGCTTGTTTGCAATCATGCATTGGCATTATTCCTTCCAGATCATGGATTTAATTGACATTTATTCTAGACTGTACATGATTTAAGGAGAACTTGCATGCTACCTTACCTCCTCCATAGCAATTATCATCTCCTTAAAGGAGTGTATACTATCATTGAAAGCATCTAAAGCATTACACATAATTTTATTCTATCATGACCAAATGATCTCTGTAGAACATTTAGGAATTCTTGAATCATGGTTCTCTTATTATGGCATCATGATTTAAATGAAGCTATCTTTTAAAGTAATAAAAGAGTACAGAAAAAGTAATGTTCTAATTTCTGCTGTCCATATACTCTGATTATACGTATTGAGTAGATTGGTGGATTTTCTCAAATTTAAAGATCATAGACAAAGTGGATCTCGTCTTTAAGTTAGTGGATGAAGTAACGCATGAGATATACAGGGTGATCCAGAAGTAACGTCAAAGACATTGTAATTTCAAAAGTATTCATCAGATCTTCATGAAATTTGGTATACATGTACCCACAACATTTCTGAGTTACCATCTCAAAGATTGGAATTCAATCATTTCATTGGTTGAAATTATGGTTGCTATAGTAACCCGATATCGCGTAACCCGGGGCAAATTACTTAACGTGTAATGCGTAATCTCAAAATATCAACAAGATCTGAAATTGTTATATCCTCAACATTTTATTTCACAACAATATAAATCATACTATTGCACAGTTACTAATAATAGTTCATTCTACATAATTGCCACCATTTGCAACACATTTCTCATGTCTGGATACCCATTCCTTGAACACAGAATTAAATCCATTAGAACTCATTCCTTGTAGGGCTAGTACTACGGCATTTTTCAATTCCTCACAGGATTGAAAATTATTTCCACTAAGGTTTCTTTTTAGTTCCCCATACAAATAAAAGTCACTTTTACACCTTTCCCCAACTTTACACAGAACTTAATGTTTGTTCTTTGCTCTATTTTACTCTGACTTGGCGCCATCTTGAATTGGGTGGGTTAGTGTCCTTGGTCATGTTAGTATTTGTCATGGATGATGGAAGCAATTCAAAGAAATTGAAAGCTTTTTATGAATGCCTATTGTGGCATCACAACTATTACATATTTGTTACCATGGCAACAAATATAAAAATCATAGAAAACAAACAATGAACATTTTCAAATGTTACTGACTTTTTAAATTAGAGAAATTCACAAAAACGTTATGGTTTCTCTTCAATTTGCCCCGGGTTACGCGATATCGGGTTACTATAGCAACCATAATTTCAACCAATGAAATGATTGAATTCCAATCTTTGAGATGGTAACTCAGAAATGTTGTGGGTACATGTATACCAAATTTCATGAAGATCTGATGAATACTTTTGAAATTACAACATCTTTGACGTTACTTCTGGATCACCCTGTAAGCCTTTAAATAACATTCAACTAAAACTGTTTTTTCTGATTGACTGAAGCCATTGATATCAGGGACACAGTGACATTGCAATATGGGAATACACTGACATCATAACTCGCTTCTGTTATTTTATATTAGAATGCTTTATTACATCATTTGATGATTTTCTCATCCTGTTGATTAACCTTATTTGAATAATATTATGAATAACAGCACCAAAGTTACCATGGATATATTTTTATATATATCATGATTATTGGGACATTCATATGTAATTGCATGTTGTTCTGAAAATCTTGGTTTAAGTCTATGATATTCTCATCTACATCTATCATTATACTAATCAAAGCTCTATTTTTGAGCAACACGGTTAGTTTTTTGGAAGTCTCGCAAAAAATCGATTATTGACATGATCAAGATAAGTCCTGCATCAGTGCATCCATTCTCTTAATTCTCTTTCAAATTCTATGAAATGTTATATAAGACTAATGAAAATGCATATTGCAGATAAACTACAGTTGAGAATGCTGATATATGACATTGAATTACGTTTCTATTTCCCATTCTTACCCAGAGTAGAACATACATAATTTAAAATTATAGCACCATATTGCAGTAACGTAATAAACTTGAGATATGAAGACTGAATCGCGAAATAAATATATTAATCCAAACTACATCTGCTCACAATTTTTCTAAAATCTAATCGCCCTGATAATAAAAACGTGTAAATCAAACACAAGAACACCTTTCAGACTGCATATCTAGATTCCCTTGAATTAATTGCATTATCAGCCTGTTATATCCATTCCTTTTCACACAAATTTAATAGGAAATTAGAAGTGAGACTTCATGATGTTTAAGCTGAATATTTTAGAAACGCCAGGGATTGTTCATAGAAACCAAAATACTTAAATATTCATTGGATTTTATAATGAACGCATCGGGATGCTGGATGGGAAAATTCCTGATAAATCATAGTTATTTGAAATAAACTTGAGATAAAATCTCAAGCTTTATAAATGTGGCATTTTACAGATATTGATTTGCTTTCAGCTTTGATATTGGCTCCCTCTATTGTATTTCATAAACACTATTAAAGCAGATCATGCAAAGTGGTGAAGGGCGTTCAAGGACAAATTACCATTCTCATATGAAGGCAAATTAAAGCGAGTTGATGCTTTGAATATTTATGCAATTTATTTCCAATTCACCTACACCCAGTTGAAAATATGATTGCACCAATGGAAAATATGTTTTTAGCACCAGAAAATATGCTAACAACAGTAGAAAATATGTTGCAGAGATAGAAAATATGTAGAAAGAATGCTCGCACCAGTGTAAAATATGTTGCACCAGTGTAAAATATGTTGCACCAGTGTAAAATATGTTGCACCAGTAGAAAATATGTTTGGGACAGCAGAAAATATGCTTGCACCAGTAAAACAGAAGAGATTTTGTAGATGAGAAAAGGTTATTGACATTTGTTGATCAATTTGTAGAATGAAGTTAAGTACAAAGCTTAGAGAGAAGTTGATTGAGGCTATTCAATCTATTCAATAGAAACATTGGTTTTTCAGTGCAATTTGAATATTTCAACTGCTTCTTTGGGTTTCTACCTGAAGAGCTTTAAATAGCCAATGTGAAATAAAAAATGGATGGATAACTCTAAATAGCAATAACTGGTGATCGAACATTTCTAAAACACACTTATTTCATTTTATTCTGTCATATGCAGGCCTGTAGCCAGAGGAGGATGGTTTGAGCGAGCCCCCCCCCCAAAAAAAAAATTCATTCAATTCAGGTTCATGCAGTTTTTTCACCTTTTTTAGCACTTTTCAAGTGATTTTGGTCCAAAATTGTATAATTTGACCCCTCCTGCCTCGGCAAAAACCTGCCTACAGGCATGATATGTATGGTGAATGGTTAGGGTATCAGTCTATTTGTGATTTACAGTCGTGGATTACATAAGTGAATTAGTTTCCCCATATTTCATGTAATCTTCCACCATTCTTTAAGTAGGTATGTGTGTTGAGTAGGATGGGTTACAAAATGCCTTAATATAGGTATAAGTAATTCTAAATGTTACTCACAACATTGATTGTGTGGACCAGCGACCCAAGATGATTGGTGACATTTACATGGACTGCAAACACTCCCGTTTCATTAAATGTGTGGAGCTGAAATACAGTGAAAAGAACAAATCAAGTCTAGTGCTAAAAATAAATAAATAATTACAAAATGTATGCTACATTGAAGTTGAAAAATGTCTACTGAGCAAAATATTGATTCCTTTCAATGTATCAAAGTTACAGAGCAGTGGATTTATGCACTTTTAGTGCTTCAAAAAGAGTTTTACGATATATTCCAATAATGATATTTAATGGTATTCTTATAACAACAGAAGAATCATTTATGATAATATTACCTGTGAATCAATTAAACATTCACGATTATTCTCACAATCCAAATGTCTCAGATATGGTTCACTGGTGATCTTTGTTCTATCATCTGTGAATTCCCACGAGTATGTAACATTTTCCCCAAATTGTAACGAAGCAACAAATATCATGGGTACATCAACAAATAACGCAAACAGCTCTTCATTGGCATAACTTTTGCTGATGGATTGTGGGATACATGATGGAAGGTCCTCGTTATTTTGGTTTGATGTGGTGACTGCTACCTCCAGATTTGTTGGGTATGGAAGGACAACCTCATGTTGGAACTCTTTTGAGACACTGGTCAAAATACTTGCCACTGTGACATCTGGAACAGAGTAATAAATTGAACTTATTTTTTTTCATTTTTTACTTGCAATATAAAAAGATTGTGCATATGTATTACTATATAAATAGGCATAATTTAGTCCAAGCTAGAGGATAACAATTGGCCCCTACATTAAATTTTCACTTCAAATGAAGAATAAGTGCAACTGAAATATCATCACCACATACTCATGTATTCTAATATTTTGGTGACAACATTTTCAATTCTTTCCTTTGACTATCACATATACATGTTTATAACAATTTTCATATTTCCCAAACCAGTCATGAGGAAGCCTGTAATATGTGGACTAATATTACACTATATAGACACCGTGTAATTATCATGTTCATTAAACTTTCTTTTTCCAAAGGTATAGAAATTTGAACAAAAAAATAAATCTTGACTGACTATATTATTCTTCATTTTTTCATGTTTAATAATGAAATTGAGATTAGTAGGAAGAATAATATAAACAATATTGCACAAAACTTTAAGCCTATGAAACCAGAATTTGACAATACCATACATGATACTATTATTTCGTGCGAAAACCATGCCTTCTAGTTGGTTGTCACTTTAAACACCTTGGTATATTTCATCTAACCTAATCCACAGGGGAAATCAGATATTAGAACATTCCCAATATCATTAAACACAAGTCCAAAGGTCAGGAAATTCAGTGTTGCAAATTGCTTAATTGCTTATTAGGAAACTGACACCGAAAATAAGTACAACCCTATCTACTAATCATTACAAACACGATATAATTAAATTGGTGTGTATTGAATCCCACTAGGAACCTACCTAGTATACAATGCTATATGACAATCTAAACCCCTCTGGGATTTCTACTGTCTGGTTACTATAGCAATATCACGATTGTCTCATTCCAATAGATCTATCAATGTAAATTTCAAGACTTTCTACTCTATCAAGTTTTATACCTAACATAACTAGAGATGTCACGGAACAAAAAAAAATCGGAACGGTTCGGTTCGAAACCTTTGATACAAAATATTGAAAAAATGCTGTTTTGTGGAGATTCAAGGGCCAGAAGTTGTGAAAGGGTAAAATGTTCTGATTCCAAAACCGAACCGAGATTCTTAATTTTTGTTCCGTGTCCGTTCCGAAGGCACAATTCCGCGGATCGTAAACAAAATCGGGTATCCGTGACACCTCTAGTAATAACACAGGAAACTGGTTAAACAAACTTATAAAAACTAAACATGATTTTATATTATGCCTGGGGGTCTTGGAATAATGGCTCATAATCACATTAACACTGTTTGTTTTATTATACTTCTTGGGTGCTGCACTCAGCGGAGATATTGAAAATCATCTTTCAACCAGATGACACAAGTTTGGGTACTTTGTGCTTGATTTAGTCTTTAATATTCACAAATAACTGAGAATTCCTGGAAAATACACTGTATCCAGGGAATATGAGACTAATTTGAGAATTCCCAGAAATAATACCACATGGGGAACATGATTGTAACAGTTTACATGAATTAGCGTTGAAATCACCAATTCTTCACCCCAATATGGATGCCATATCTGGCAGATTGTCAAAAGATAATGTTTTATGCTTCCAAGATCCTTTTAAAATGCAAAAAAATAACAATATCATTCGATTACTTTCCAGGAAAAAACATGTATAAATGTAGTAAAAAAGCATAAGATAAAATACATAGCAATGACTGGAATCCTGGAGCAAAAAAGCATAAGATGAAATAACAATAGGTAGAATCCTGAACATTTAGGCAAACTATCAAAATATAGTGTCAAAAAGGATGACCATTCTCTTTATCCTTTAAAATTTGCTCTATGGGAGAGTCATTAGGGAGTAAATTATTTACATCACTTATTCACTGAAAAATTCTACTTTACCAGCTTTGATTACAGTTTAATGTCTAGAGACAAAAGATGGGACGAGAAAATGTGCTGAGCAAGATTCAATCAATTTTTAGTGTCAACTTTATAAAACAGTGTCAATTTAAAACTGAAGTGTAGGATAGACCATTATAAATCTTTGAGGGCAAGTGGAATGAGAACAAACATTTAGCACCTTGGACTGCATGACTGACTCCATGTTCATGCAATAGTCTGGCAGAAACTTCAAAGCTAATCGTTTTCTTCGGATTACAATGTTTTTTTAACTTAACAGCATGAATATAGGGTTGGGACCTCAAAACCATTGGATGCCGGAGCGGCACCCTTGGGCAACTCTCTACAGAGCATTTCTTATACCCCCCTGATAAAATATACAGGGGGTACTATAAGACACCCTCATATCTCAGACACTAATAAATATATTAACTTGAAATTTTCAGGAATTGGTTTTAGTATGATGCTTGACACATGTGACAAAAATCAAGAAAAAATCTTAATCTGTTGCTATAGCAACAGAAATAGACACTATTTGTTACCGTAGAAATGCATTATTTTGCTGATTTTCATAATTTTCTTCATATTCTTGATTCTTAAAGCATCTGAAGTATATATGTATCTGTTATATACATGATTAGAAGTAAAGATGAAATAATTCATCATATGGTTTATGTAATATATCTAATATTTCAGTTGCTATGGTAACATCACATAATAATCATGTTTTACATTTCACTTTCTTTAAAAAAGGTGGTCCAAAATAACACTTCTTGAAAAGGTTATGCTCCCTAGGTAAAAAAGTGCTGCTTTTGAGATAAATAGTCACATGAATTTGAAAAAAAATTATAATTTCATTTTACCCCACCTCGACAGCAACCAAATCTGGCAAAATAGATTAATTTTCAAGGTTCAAATAAAAAATGCCCCCAGTGGTCCCCAGAAGCTATATCATGGACCCCAGTGGCCCTAGAAGCTATACAGGGGCCCCCAGTGGCCTCAAGATGCTATAAGGTGGCCCCAGAAGCTATACAGGGACCCCTAGTAGCCCCCAGAAGCTATATGGTAGCCCCCAGAAGCTATACAGGGGCTCCAAATGGCCCCTAGAAGCTATATGGTAACTATCATAAGCTATACAGGGGCCCCCAGTAGCCCCCAGAATCTATACAGTGGCCCCTAGTGCCCCCTTAAAGCTATATGGTGGCCCCGGAAAGCTATATGGTGGCCCCAAGAAGCATATCCAGCGGCCCCTAGTAGCCCCCAGAAGCTATTTGGTGGACCCCAGTGGCTCCAAGAAGCTTTACAGTGGCCCCAAAAAGCTATACAGGGGCCCTAGTGGCCCCAAGAAGCTATATGGTAGGCCCCAGAAGCTATACGGTGGCCCCAAGTAGCCGCAAGAAGCTATAGGATGGCATCCAGTGGCCCCTAGAAGCTATATGGTAGCCCCCAGAATCTGTATGGTGGCCCCCAATGGCCCCAATTGCCCCAAAAAACTATACAGGGGCCCCCAGAAGCTATACGGTGGCTCCCAAAAACTATATGGTGGCCCCCCAGTGTCCCCAAGAAGTTAAAAACAGGAGCCCCCAGAAGCTATACAGGAACCCCTAGTAGCCCCCAGAACCTATATGGTAGCCTCCGGAAGCTATACAGGGGCTCCAAATGGTCCCTAGAAGCTATATAGTGACTTCCAGAAGCTATACAGGGGCCCCCAGTAGCTCCCAGAATCTATACAGTGGCCCCTAGTAGCAGGCCTGTCAACTGTCCCGCAATTTGCGTATTTGTCACGCATTTGCTGAAAAATTTGAAGTCACGCCAGTTATTTTTGCGTGACAGAAAATGTCACGCAAATACGCATTTTAGCTGGTAATTGTCAAGCAAAAATATTTCTGTAGAAAAATTTCTAAAAAAGATCGTCTACACAGCAAAAATACGAACGAAATTTTTCGTACCTCCCACCTATACAGGGGCCCCCAGAAGCTATACGGTGGCTCCCAAAAACTATATAGTGGCCCCAAAAAAGCTATACGGTGGTCTTAGAAGCTATACAGGGGCCCCCAGTGGCCCCCAGAAACCATACGAGGGCCCCCAGTGACCCCAAGAAGTAAGCCCAAATTTTCACTGACAAAAAATTCACAATGTTGTCAATCTGAAATGTTTCATGGCCATTAAATTTCACTGTTAGAGAAATATCCAATTGAATTCAATGTTAAATCAAATATTCACAGTGCCTTTAAAAGCTATACAATGGTCCCCAGTGGCCCCCAGAAGCTATACAGCCCCCCCCCCCCAGTAGTCTGATTGCTCAGATGAGGAAAGACAATGCTTATAAAATTTAGACATTATGCCAAAATCTAGACTATGCCAACCTCTCTATTGTATAATTACATTAGATTTTATTATGATGCATGTTCTAAATGCCAAAGTCTAGACTATATGCCAACCTCACTACTGTATGAATTCATTAGATTTCATTTGATATTATGAGGTTATATAATGGTTCATTCTGTATATCGTGTTTATACTCGAGTGAGTATATGATATATTCACAAGTGAGCGTAGCGAACGAGTGAATATATTATATTCTCACGAGAGTATAAAATGCAGGATATACAGAATGAACCATTATATAATCTTATTATGCCACTCTAAGTTCAATTACAGTTGATTCAAACACAATCATAACAATTATAAAAACCATAAAAATATCCCATAGCCAACTCAGTAATGCCGATGTTGATCTCGATCCATTTATGACGTCACTTGATTCTAGCAAATCATGTGGGAACCATTTATGACGTCACTTGATTCTAGAAAATCATGTGTAACAAAACATACACCTCGTTCTTCGGTCAATATTCATTAGTTCCCAGAATGCACTTCTACAGTGGTATACGCTGGACGGAAGAGTTGTATACGGTGACGATATACCACTCTCCACTGTATATCGTTGTTATAGACCCATGTTATACAACTGAATCAACTATATGAAGAAATGTTGAAAATCAGCAAAATAATGCATCTCTACGGTAACAAATAGTGTTCTGTTACTGTTGCTATAGCAACGGATTAAGATTTTTTCTTGATTTTTGTCATACACGTCAAGCATCATACTAAAACTAATTCCTGAAAATCTCAAGTTAATATATTTATCAGTATCTGAGATATGAGGGTGTCTTATAGTACCCCCTGTATATTTTATCAGGGGGGTATAAGAAACGCTCTGTAGAGAGTTGCCCAAGGGTGCCGCACCGGCATCCGGTGGTTTTGAGGTCCCAATCCTATATTCATGTTGATAAGTTAAAAAAACATTGTAATCCGAAGAAAACGATTGAATGTCAAAATACCCTATATTTCTGCCAGACTACAAGGTCAACTGTCAATATATAAATGTGTGTATACTGAAGATCAGAAACGAATCTGAACACTAAAACATGGCGGAAACAGTTCTAATCCAGAGCATGTGTATTCTTGAAAGACCCACATTTTTTCATTTCATTTATTCTCATCACGTAATCCTAGCATAATTTCAGTTTTTCAAATCACAATAATCAAGAGAGTACAGTTGGATAATTTACAATAAAATGCATATTAGAGTACAGCTCAATGAGTTTCATTCAAAGGGAATAATAAGATCATAAAATAAATGGATAAAGATAAATTGCTTATAGTTAAAGGTTGATCTGAGTTTGCAATATTGAATGAAGCATTCAATAGATTCAGCCTAGAACAAAGTCACCTTGATGGCGATATTAAAAGCAAAGCAAGCGAGATAGAAAATTCAAGTTTTATCGAACGTTTACCGACTAAAATCAATACATAATTAGTACTACTCAGTTTTTCTAAAATCAGATGCACATAAAAGCAGACATTTGTCATGTAATAACAGCAATTATTGACACATTGTCATATATACAACTATTCATTATATTTTGTTATTCCGAGGCAATCATAATATTTCCCTCAATGTAAGAATAATCATTACAGAACTTTAATGCATATTACATTATCCCTGGAGACAGAACGAAATGAATGGCTTTCATAGGTTTCATGCTTCAAAAGGTAAATGCAGCAATTCCAGGTATTGACTAGATGTGGGACTCCACAAGGGGACATGTCAACATATCAATTTAAATATTGACTAAATATGGGACTCCACAAAGAGACAGGTCAGTAATTCAATTTAGGTATTGACTAAATATGGGACTTCACAATGGGACAGGTTAATATATCAATTTAGGTATTGACTGAATATGGGACTCCACAAGGGGATGTCAACATATCAATTGAAGTATTGACTAAATATGGGACTCCACAAGGGGATGTCAACATACCAATTGAAGTGTTGACTAAATATGGGACTTCACAATGGGACATGTCAACATATCAATTGAAGTATTGACTAAATATGGGACTTCAAAATGGGACATGTCAACATATCAATTGAAGTACAGTAAAACCTGCGAACAGGGAATGCTCTTGGGACTGGAGGAAACTTTCCTTGTTCAGAGGTTTTCCCTATAGAGAGGGGCCGCACTTTCCTCAAACTTGCTGAATAAGCATATTTGTATATATATTGATTGATTGTACAAATGCCGACTCCATACTTGGTTATGCTCTCCCCATGTTGATTATAGCTGCTGCTAGCGTCTGATGATGTCTAGTTGATGTAATTATTGATATGATGTGTAGATATATATTGCTAAGAACTGAATTTCAAGTTTCATCAACCCCATTTTATACCATTGATAATCTAGAAGTTGGATCAGTAAATGAGTTAAAGAGATTTGGCTCAACATAACCGTATACTCACTATCTGTTATCTCTATAAAACAATTGTGTCAGTCCCTAGATTATTACACCTGATTTGATGTAATTAGGTTTTTGAAAGGAAGAATTAGGTCATGATAAAAGTAACAAACAGATTAGTATTAGTTTTAAAATAAATCAGGGTAATTAACAGTGGGTGGGATGCTACATCATGTAAACAATTGGCTTATCTTAATCTCAATCATATTAATCCAAGCTTTTTATATTCAGATATTGGCTTAAGACTTTCACACCTCTGAAAAATAATGGAATATACAGTGTCACCAATATTCAATATTCTTTGTTCACAGGTGAATTTTTATAATTTGCCCCAAAATAGTGTTCCTTGTTCCCTGTTCACAGGTTTTCCCTACAGAGAGGGTCCGTTAACATGTAAGTCAATGGAAAAATATTTGGTTCTTTTGAAAAGCATTCCTTGTTCATAGGTTTTCCCTACAGAGAGGTATTCCATCGGACAGGTTTTACTGTATTGACTAAATATGGGACTTAAAAATGGGACATGTCAACATATCAATTGAAGTATTGACTAAATATGGGACTTCAAAATGGGACATGTCAACATATCAATTTAGGTATTTACTTAATATGGGACTCTACAAGGGATGGGTCGACAACTATCAATTCAAGTATTGACTAGATATGGGACTTCACAAGGAGACAGGTCAACAGATCAATTTAGGTATTTAGGTGGGACTCCATAAAGGGACATGTCAATATATCAATTTAGGTATTAACTGGATATAATATGGGAATCTACAAGGGAACAGTTCAACATATCATTTAGTAGGGGTATTAAAGGGTTTTAAGCTTATGGACACTGAAATGACCCCTCAACATAATTTCTATCTTGACTAAAAACACTGATATTTTGAGCCACCCCCTTAGTGGGACATATTCTTTATACATCCTGCTGTCATATAACAATCAGCGTAACTAGGCATTTACCAAAGTAGATCCATCATTCATATCATAATGAGGAAAAGTGCTCTTGGAAAAACTAGCTCAACATGTGTACTTTTAGAACATGTTTTAAAGCCTATTATATAAAGTACAGTTAACCCTGTAAAATGGAACACCTCTGCAAGTAGAATACCTCAATTTAAAAGTAACACTTTTCAAAGTCCTATAGCCCAATAGCTTAATATAAAGTGGGAATATAACAGAAATACCTGGTGGTACACTATTTTTAGGTACTAAAGGTATCGGTCTAATACAGGTTTTACTAAAAGACAACTCCTTAGCTGGGGGGCTAAACCTAATAATATAATCCAAATTGTTTGGGAATTGTATTATGTCCTAATGATTCGTAATATACATTTTCAGAGTAAACCACTTATTCTTACAACTTTGTCCTGCAATTAATACTGTCTTCGAAACTCGAAAATGGTATTCTAAGGGTGCCATACTTACTAATTGGGTAGATGGCTGGCTCTGAGAATGTACGACGTAATGTGACTCTGGCAACATTATTCTCAACAGTAGCATTTTCTTGTTCAACATCCCCATCTATCTGCCAGTTAAATTGAACATCTGCAAACTTTTCAATAGGTGTCTCTGCAATACCTGGAAAATGAACATACCATAATGAATATTATGAAAATTCATTCAGGAAGAAAATAATATGGAGGAACGTGATTAATTACAAATAAAAAATATTTACCCAATATTATCTTCTATAGAATAATAAATAATGGTGAATTACCCAAGAATAACGGCAAACAATCAATGCTAATTGCGAATTCTCTAAGTTGTATATGGCATATTGATTAACACTGGCTTGCTTTGATTGCACAGGAAATTTCTCTTCATTAGATTACATTTATTGACATTTATCAAGGCAAAGAAATCCCTCCAAGCCTGTTTCCTAGAAGCCTAGAGACATCCATAACTCGATGCATTTATTACAATGTGCATTTCAAGTAACCACGGTGATAACACAAAGTAATCATGCCACTTCAGGAGTATTGTGAGGAGATTAAAACACTTCAATATGTTTAATATTCCAGAGAGAGAATTATTTCATTGTTAAAAGAAAAATTGCACTACACTACCTAAAACACTTCAATTCTTTTGTATGAAAACATTTATGATATCTTTGGTTTAAATACCTGTATTTTAATTGCTTCTCAAGCAAAATGAATATATATTGAACTTGACAGGTAGACTGAAACATAAGTATTTGTAATGCCCTAATGTATGTTCAACCATATTCATTAGGTTGAGTGCCAAATCTCTTTTATACTATAATTTAACTCTAGTCAATTTAAAGAGACAATATGTTACATGTTAACCCTTTCTAATGTTCTATTTATTATGTATATGGATTTATAATTATCAAACTTGTGCAATACTTGGAATAAACTGTTTTATAATACATTACTGATACATATTGACTATAGTGTATGCTCAATGTTCTGGCGAACATAATTCTATTTGGAAGTTAGTGACCAGTGTCTCATAAGCCGACATCGGCTGATGGTATTCTAATTGTGTCTTTATATATGTATTATTTGAATCATACCAGTGACATTTAAATAAAATATTTTAAACTTAAACTAAAATATAAAAAAGTTCAATGTTGGAACTCAGGTTTAGTTTAAATGTTTGGTAATGTCAAAAAATAAAACAGAATACACACATATAAAAGAAATGGTTCAAATCAAAGGGGACATATTCCATCAAAACTCTTTGTGGGGTATAGTAATGCAATATTTTTTGTTCATGAAAAATATAAAGAAATACTTTATAGGCAAACATGTAAGTTCATGCTTACACAATGGCATTTCATAATGGAAATGAAAGATAATGTTTTGAAGTAGACGATTATTGGAGAAAACCACAAGACACTCGAGAACAAGTATTTATTACTTATAGTCATTCATACATTCATTTTGAATGACTTATATCTTAGACCTACATACATTCAATCCATGTGATCAAAGTAATAGATGATATGTCACATCCCTATATGATCACAAGATGTAATTATTACAGCCAAATGGCTTGTAATAAGTGATGTGAGCCCTATATCTATAAAGACAACCACACCAATTAATATAAGAATTCTTTCTGACAGAATTATAATGAATCTATACTGATACTGACAGGCAGACATTTCTGGAATTATTTGCTGAAACTATAATTACACAATTTGATGTGTTTTTACAGGAACAAAGACTCTGGTAATTGAGATACTTTGACATTGCTTTGACATTACTCATTGATGCCATTAGTATACTGTAAGGCCCCTTTAATGAAATTTCTGTTTAGCACCACCTACTCTCATCATCTCATCTTAGAAGATGTTCAATATTCATTGTACGAGGGGTGATCAATAAGTAATGGACGCTTTTTTACACAGATACTGTTTATAGACCAATCCCTTTGGTTTTCCTACCAGTGATACATCATTCAATTATCTATCAATTCTGAAGATTTGAAGACAAAATATATAATACATGTTGATATATCCTTATTTCCGTGAAGGAGGTACAGGTACCCCAGGACCGACATTTACGTTACATATTCAGTTTTTAGCCAGTTTGGTAAATTTGGGTTAGATTTGAACTTTTTATATGCAACAAGTGTTGTGTTGTTTGAAATTTTTTGCTGACTGGTAACACATAAACAGAAAGTATTGTGATGTCAGAGTGTTGTATGGAAGGGATTTGCAGGTCAATTTGAGAAAGCATTGTGGAAGAAAGGGGTGGTGAGAGAAGGGAACGTCCTACTCCATTTGGACAACATGCCTGCCCAGAGATCTCAAAATGTTCTGAAAACAATATCCCTGGACCTCAAAATTGCACTCTTGGACAATGCACTATATTGTCCAGATCTGCTCACATGTGACTTGTTTATTTCTATACAACTTATTTCTTTAGAGAAAGGACGCAGGTTTATTGACATTGATTAAATAAAACATCTCGTGCAACTGCATCTTGCTACCATGTCAGAGAATGGATTCAGCCTTGTCTCACAATCTTGAGTTAAGAGGATGAAGCATTGTGTACATGTAGCACTTGATGGAACCTATTTAGAGGGCCCTGTGGAATGAATGTGGCATGCATACCACACAGTGATGATAAAATATTCAAAATCAACTATAGCATAACAAAATGGGGTAATTCATGACCATAATGGTTTGTTTTGTTCAGCCTGCATTCAACTACATAAATCACCTGTGCGACAATCTAGTGGGAGATATAGTGCCCTCAAGCAACACCAATCACCCCAGAAATCCCCTGTACGACAATCTAGAGGGAAACATAGCCCACGAAGACAACTACAGTCACCACGAAAACAATCACCACGCGAACAACCTTTACAAGGTGAAACAAAACAACATAGGGGTCAAGCCGAATATAAAGAAAACAATTACAATCGTCACCAGACTAATAGGTCGCCTATAGAGTCAATCAACAATCAACAACCAAACAGTTTCAGATACAGAAGTAACATTAATAATCATGTATAGGAACCCGGCCAGTGCGGACTGAGAGTCGGTTACTGGAATACAGATGGCTTCACTTCAGGGAAATCAAACCCCAGAAGTGAGGAAAGCTTTGTTTTTAAACTTGAGACAATTCAGAACTTTAACTTTGATATTATTGGTATTTCAGAAACATGGTTGAAACACGAAGATGTACCTGAGCTGCCTGCTGATTTTCCATATATTTGGTATGGTCAAAACAGAGGCACAACCCACGCAAGAGCAAATAGAGGCTCAGGTGGTATAGGTTTCTTAGTACATAAACGTTTGAAGAAATGCTTTAATGTGAAAATATTGAAAAATAACTTTGAAGGAATACTATGGATAGAATTAAAACATAAGGTTAAACATGACATGACAGTAAATGTATGTGTATGTTATTTGCCCCCAGACAGATCTACACATTTATATGATTCTCAAACATTTTTTGAAACATTACACTCAAATATCTGTGACTTCCAAAATGATGGATATGTAATAATTGGAGGTGATTTTAATGCCCGCTGTAATGATGACACTGACTACATAGAGGGTGTCGATGAAATATGTGAGCGTGAAATTATTGATCTGAATAGCAATAAGCATGGTACTAGTCTAATAGACTTCCTCATAGATACAAACTTCTGTATGCTAAATGGTCGAAATAATGGCAAAAATGACTACACTTTTACTTCTATAAATGGAAAATCAGTTGTTGACTACATCATAGTACCTCATGAACATCTGTGTCTTTTTAACAATGTCAATATTTTATCTATGTCATCTTGTATTAACATGTATAACAGTTCAATTCCATCTCATCTTCCAGGCCACTCTGTTCTTGAATGTACTCTGGGTATAAACTGGTCAATCAACTCTACTAAAAGGAAGAACAGCCAACACAGATTGACAGGCAGTGTGAAATATAAAGCAAACTCCACGCCCCCAGACTTTCTAATGACAGATGCCACCAAAGAACAGGTAGAACAGACAATAGTCAAAATAGAGTCCGCAATAAAAGATCATAACAATATAAACCAAGCATATAATGAATTCATCTCTTTAATGATCTCAGAGATGGACAATAGACTTGAAAAAGTAAAAATAAATACAAATATCAAATTTAATAAAAGTAGATCGAAACCATGGTGGAATAATGATCTCAGCCAACAATGGGAAAAGGTCTGCCAGGTAGAACGTCAATGGAAAAAACCTACAACACATAAGCGACAAAAGCGAATATATCATGAACAATATAAAACTGAACGAAAATTCTTTGATATCGCCCTTAGAAGGGCAAAACGCCTCTATCAGAGAAGTATCCAAGATGAAATTCTTAGCGACTTAAATGATGACCAACCAACTTTCTGGAAGAAGATTGGTAGAATAGGCACAGGAACAAATAGAACAAGCAAAATTCCCATGGAAACTCTAAATGAACAAAATGAAGTCATCACAGACACACACGAGGTATTGGAAAAATGGAGGAAAGAATTTGCCAAGTTATTCAGTGATGCTAACAATAGTAAATTTGATGAAACACATTTGACAAAAATTAAGGACAATATAAATAGAATGGAACAAGAATATAATGACATAACGAGCCAGAACACAACTACAGATACATCTGAATCAAATCTGCCTGATGCAACTCCACTTAATCTCGACATAACTAGAAAAGAAGTCAATGATGCAGTGAAAAGAGCAAAATCCAACAAAGCAGCGGGATGCGACCTGATTCCACCCAATACTCTGAAAAATCCCAAATGTGTTGATATCCTACACAGAATCATATCACATTGCTTCAGAACAGGCACAATACCAGATGACTGGACAAAAGGCATAATCAACCCCATCTATAAAACCTGCAACAATGACCAGCGTATCCCCCTCAACTATAGAGGCATAACACTACTATCTGTACCTAGCAAGATCTATAGTGGTGTTCTTAACAAAAGGCTTAGTCGCTGGCTGGAAGACAACAATATCCTAGCAGATGAACAAAATGGATTCAGGATACTCCGAAGCTGTATAGACCATATACACTCCCTGTATACAATAATTCACAACAGGAAGCTACAGAGGCTCGATACATTCGCATGTTTCGTGGACGCCAAGCAAGCCTTTGATCGGGTCAATCATGCCTGTTTGTTCTATAAATTACTTAGAATAGGCGTCCGAGGAAACATGTATTATGCTATAAAATCACTGTATGCTAATGCAAAGTGCTCTGTGAGGGTAAATGAACATCAAACCAACTACTTCCCTATATTATCGGGCGTTCGGCAGGGGGACCAGATTTCTTCGACCCTCTTCAACATCTACATCAATGACATGGCCCAAGAAATCAAGGAGCTTAACATGGGAGTCCCCTGTAATGACGAAAATGTGTCAATACTACTATATGCAGATGATGTGGTATTTATCTCGGATTCAGCCCAAAACCTTCAAACAATATTAGACAAGTTACAACAATGGTGCAATAAGTGGCGCTTCACTATTAATGATACAAAAACCAAAGTTATACACTTCAGAGCCAGTACAACACCTCAATCAGACCATGTTTTTATGCTTGAAGACACAGTGTTGAAGTACACACGTGAATACAAATATCTAGGTCTCTGGTTCAACGAACACCTAGACATGACAAGTACAGTGAGACACCTGGCTAAATCAGCAGGAAGAGCACTTGGCTCAATCAACACCAAATTCAAAGAAACTGGAGGAATCCAGTATGATGTCTACACCAAGCTGTTTGACAGTATGGTTGCTCCAGTGCTACTATATGGAGCAGGTGTTTGGGGTACCAAACCATATGGTCTAATTAACACCATTCTCAACAGAGCCTGTCGTTTCTTCCTAGGAGTTAAAACAACAACACCAACTCTAGCCACCCGTGGAGACATGGGATGGCTATCAATGGAATCACGACAAGATATTGAAACAGTAAGACTATGGCAGAGGCTGGATAAAATGACAAATTCAAGGATAAACAAAAGAATATTCAACTGGTCAAATGAACAAGCTGATACCCATAGAATGAAAAATTGGACATTTTACATCAAAAAATCAATATCAACAAAATATAGAAATACTACTTTATCAACGCCAATGACAACCTTCAAAAAACAAGTCTCAAAGTTTGATGCAGAAAAATGGACACAAGAACTGAGTAAAATAGGACCAAATAATAAACTAAGAACTTACAAAACAATCAAAAATGAGTTTAAGCCTGAAAGCTATACAAAAATCAACCTCCCTAGATATCAAAGAAGTGCATTCTCCAAACTAAGATGTGGAGTTTTACCACTGAAAATAGAAACTGGGAGATTCACCAAACCCAAGACACCCCTTGAAGACAGGACATGTGAAATGTGTGATGATCATAAGATTGAAAATGAACAACATTTCCTTGTAGAATGTCCGGCCTATGAGGATTTAAGAAACATTATGATATCAGAAGCTCAAAGCAGCAACCCTGACTTCCTAAACAAAAGTAAAAATGACCAGTTTATAACCCTGAGTACTTCTCCAGAGATGGCTTTTATTGTATCTAAAACTGTATTCCTTATGTACAAACACAGACAAACAAATATGTGATAAACAAAGATTATGTAGTTAGTAAATATTAATGTATTTATTTATTTTTTAGAAACTACTACATTGTATCTTATGCTATATAGGCAATGATTTAGCCTATGTGACAAATTATTGATCGACAGTCATTTGACATAATTATATGTGCAATACTTCTAATATACATGTATGAAACGTCTCTCATAAGCCGCACTGGCTGGGGCAGTGTTTTTATTATGACATTTTAGTACTATTAGTATCTGTAAAATAAATCTGCTGTGAGACGAAAATAAATAAATAAATAAATAAATAAATAAATACATTGCATGTTAAACAAGCTAAAATAGCTTCAGAATATGTGACGTAAATGTCGGTCCCGGGGTACCCGTACCTCCTTCACGGAAATAAGGATATATCAACATGTATTATATATTTTGTCTTCAAATCTTTAGAGTTGATAGATAATTGAATGATGTATCACTGGTAAGAAAATCGAAGGGATTGGTCTATAAAAAGCATCTGTGTAAAAAAGCGTCCATTACTTATTGATCACCCCTCATACAGAATAAGCACTTTGATCACAGTGTACTTTTTGTAAAATTGCTTAACAGACAATAAACCTGGAATTCTGAAACCATATTTTTGTTTTACAAAACTAAAATTAAAATGTAGATTATATAAAATAATCAAAACATTATTTTGAATATTTCATTGGTAACCAGGCATAGTATTGTCTCCTTTTAGAGAAATCTAAACATATGACATGACACCAAATTAGGCATTCCATCTTGAATAAAGGTTATTCTAACAAATGAGTTAGAGAATTACAAAACATTCTCTTTGTACTGTTCATCAGGGCTATTCTAATTTATTTAAATAAGTGCAATCATACAGATGCAAATCAAGTCATCGTTTCAATGGATGGATTGTCAGCCAGACTTCAGACAGACATATTAACAAAGGGTCTTTATTTATATTACCTTACATCATAGTTGAAAATACAAACATTATTGATTAGTATCTTACCTGTTGTATAATTTTCAAAGTCTACAGCAAAATGTCCAATAACTTCAAAGACAACCTCATGGTTCACCAAGGTGATATCATCTGTTACCATGGTAACATCAACCAAATAAGGGCCCTCACTTGTATAAATTGCAACAGAGGTTTGTGATTCACCACAGGGGATATCCAAGTCACCATGACAACTGGAAAAATAAACAGATGATAATTAATCGATGGAAAAAGTTTGTTTTTGTTCAAAAACATCTCACTCAAGATTCAAATATATTTTCATAATACTACCCAATAACTAAAGATTGGATGCTTTTAACAGTTAAGTCTTGTTAGTTAGTTTAAGTGAAGAATCAGTGAATAGTCTGTACATTGTACATATTTTGATACAAGTGCTAATAAAAAAAGAAAATGTATTAACAATATTATAAATGGTACAAGATATGGCTCTTGCTATTCTAAATATATCAAAAGTAGTTTGAATTGAAGTTTTGGTAAAATTTCTAAAAATTTGAGATATGGGATCCTGGGAACTATTTATTTCATAAACATGATGTCCAAATGCTTAGAAAGTATGAAGAGAAAGGACTAAAAAGCGATATTTTTAAACAATACTTAGATGAGACCTAGGGGCAAGTAAACTCAAAAATCATTTGATAATTATTCAAGAAGAATCTATTCCAAGAAGCAATCCTGAAATTTTCAAAGTAACTCATAAAGTTGTTTTTTAAACATGTAGACAAGATTTTGGAAATGAAAATATAATATGGTCACATACGTTTTTTCTAAACAATGAAGTGGTGAGCCAGGAAATGTACAGACAGAATTATGCAGACAAGATTACTAAACAGTTCTAAATTTTATAAAATAACAGTTCAAAGCATCATCCCTGAGAGTTTCAAATCAATCCCTCAAGCGGTATGCAGTTTGTACCACAAGTTATTAATAGGTGCATGCATTCACACTCTATCAGCAATATAAAGGCCATATATATAATTTTCAATTATGTTAACAAATACTCTTTGAATAACTAGCAAATATGAATGAAAAAAGTGGCAGCCATTGGCACTTAGTATTATGTGGCATAAATGTCAAATATCACAAAGTGCCTAAACCTAATTAGTGATGGATAAATTGAATGATATAGCTTCTATGTTGAGTAAATGGGGAAAGTGGTCACTGTTAATAAAGTAAGCATGGTCCAGGCCATCATTTTCAAACAACTGACTCTTCTGCAATCTTTTCAGTTGACTGACTTCTAATTATGTCAGTCGAATTACTTCAATGATTTAACATTCACTGTTTTCATGATCAAATTGTAAAGATGTCCGTGAAACTCTTGAATAGCAAATAATAATCTTGCTTCAAGGTCAAACTACTATATATGCAAATGATCATCGAGCAAAGGATCTTCTGAAAAAGATTTGCAAAATAGCGATCAAGCATTCTGATACTCATACATCTTCCTGTTTCAACATCTCAGGCCTGAGAAGAAATAAGATGTCATGGTTTATCATGACGGCGTTCAAGTAGTCACATATGACGGATGACTCTAAAATTATGAATCCTCTATTCCCACATCATACTCTTTTTTCAACTAACAATATATTCAGGTTTTTAGAAAAAAGCTGATAGCGAAAACTGTGACACTCAGTGAGGCACCATCCTCCGATCACAGGGCTTCAAAATCTGGAATACTTCTTTCTTTTTATTACCCCCTGCGATAAGCAGTTAGCATTTCCCTGATTAAGAAATCGCGACAGCAATCATGTATACACCATCGGCGCATAATTTGAACATGTGATGCAGTTTAATCGGGCGCTTCCAAATTGGTTATTGCAGGGGGAAGAAGGAGGTACGGATTCTGGACACCTGCTTAGGAGGATGGTGAGCCACAGGATGTCAATTCCCATCATTATTCCTCACTCCTCATCATCATAGATTCTCTTTTATTTTTTTAACAACATGAAAAAGTGCATATATTATTTAATTCATTCATCATATCAAACTAGAACAATAAGAATCACATTAGGTTAAAGGAGGGCAGCACCATACAGTTAGGCACCATACAGAACGAGAGCTACATGGCACAATTGTGAAAAAAATCAATTAATAACACACATTTCTAGATATTGCAATTACTGCATTTCACAGTAATATCACAGTATATAATACATATGAGAAATGAAATTGCATGAGTTGAGTAGAAGGGGGAGGGTTCATGGACTCTATATAAGACTGCAATGAAGAAATTTAATTTTGGTATCTTTCCAAAAGAGTATTCTGTTTTATTGAGACCCTCTTTATCTTAAGCTTCGCTGCGCTCTTCCTGAAATAGTATCATAATGAGAAGGCATCAACATGCAGAATGTCACCACCTGTCAGTTGTTACAGATGCCGAACCAACCACCAAATGCCAATCACCAAACACCATCCACAAAAAAGTTGGAGACTATAACAATATGTCACCACTTGTGGTGGTGACATAAAAAATTTCATTTGAGCTTTTCAGACTTTGGACACATTTCTGAAATATAGGGACACATCAAAACAAACCTTTGAGTACAGCCATTCTCTAAGGGCGACAGTTGATATATATAGTCGTAACACCAGCACTGATGGGATTCACCTTGCAGTAAAGCCACACCAGCATAGCTATACCTGTAAACAAGATAACATCATGTATGTTTATTGTTTGATGCTACGGATAATTAGGTCCATAAAATGTTTGTTCTGGTGACCTTGACATTTACAAAAAAATGATATGTATGACATTTATTATCATGATCTTGAAATTTTAGTTCTACTAGTATTTGTAAAATAAATCTGCTGTGAGAAGAAAATATATTTGATGATTTTATGACGTTTTTTCAACCTTTACAGTCACAACCTTTTTGTACCCAGCACCATAACCAGTTTTGACTATGGAGTGGGGAGTACAACTTTTATATGCGTATGGTATAAACTGAGTAAATCAAATATGATGGCTTACAAACAACTCAACGTCAAACCCAAGTCAACTAATCCCTGAACAACTTGCCTGGATGAGTTATCCAAATGGTGAGTTTTCCAGGGATGAGTTGTCAAGCCACTGAATTGTCTGGTCACCATTAATATATCCTGTGATCAGACTGAGATTAATTGCTTAAAGCTTATCCTTATTCAACATTTGGCAGTAACAAGGTCAAATGGGGCCTTCTGATGGCTTTCTGGACCTCCCACACTACCCTGGTTATGGGACTAATATTTTGATATCATTTGAACTAACCTGTCATCCAAACAGTGTTTTAAACAGGCTACAGGTGTAGAATAGTTTTGCTGTGGTGTACCACCAAACATGCCACCCCACTGTCTGTACATATAGCAACCATTATACCAGTCACACACAACTGCAATAGAAAGAAACATTCTTTACAATCTTATTTTATATAACATTCTCAGCAAACATCTGTATTCTAAAGATTTACAATAGAAGTAGAACCAGATAACAACAATGCCAAGACAGACGGAAGGACGGACTGCAGGCCAATTTCTATAACCCCCAAACTTTTTATGATGAGATGGTAAAACTAGAATAAATGTACCACTACCTTAAACACAATATATAATCTTTTTTAGTCTAATAATATAATAATGACTCAACTTGAACCCAGTTGAAAATACCTTTGCAGATGTTTCAATCATGGACATTTCTAAATGGAATATATATCTTTTACAATATAATCAATAGTAAATTTAGTTATTATAGAAGTCCTAACTAAAGCTTTACATCAGATATATCTCTTTCAAGTCATCAAATGTAAACCAAGCTTGAAATCTCAATATAGTACTTCAGTTTTGGCAATTTTCGAATCAGGTATATCCCTTAAATCAACTGTATGCTATACGTTATTGTCCGGGCTCCAATACTCAAGCCAATGTGTCAATATGAAATAAAGAATCTGACATAAAGCATTCTATAAGCAAACAGTTAGCTAACAGTCCAATAATATAGAATTTATTTATTCATTTCTTGGTGCTATTGAACCTTACACGCAATAATTTATATTTTCTTTTTAGCTTTATGAGGTGGAACAAAAAAGAACAATCGAAGCCAGAATATATTCATTTGATAAAGATACAAGTACTCTACATGAACGTGTTGATGCTATTCATAAACTTAGTTTAAGTAATTGTTGATAGCCACTCTGGTTCCCTTAAAAGATTGAGGTGAAGGAGAACTGGAAAAACTCTTTAAATTCTCATGTTTTCTTTGTAACTTTTTTATTTCTGTAGATATGTGAATTGTGATTAAAAACACAAAATGAAAAAAATCTAGAAAACTTTTTTATTTCAATAACCAAGACAAGGAAAAAGTTGAATTGATTTGGATAACAAGGTAAATAGCTGAAAGGACCACGGAAGGTATCGCAACAAGGAAAAGTACTCACTCATAGAGATGGTTAAATAATTTGGACTTCGAGACAGGGAAGGTGCAAACATCCCACTTACATATCTTTTTTCAAAAAGGTTTTCCTATTTTCAGCCCCTTTCATTCCTGTGTTTTTCAATGTTTTATGCATCAATATGTTGTATTTGTAGACATAGTTCACCTTTTAGAAGGAAAATAGGATTCATTTGGAAAACAATACTTCCCATGTTATTTTCCCATTGGGAAAACTCAGGCAATGCATTGTTTTCAGCTTAATTTTGGTCACCCAGAAGCGATATCTTTACAATTCTTGCTTGAATCCAATTTTCCTTTTAAGAGGGTGTCTGCGCCTCCAAATGCAATATACTGATGCATAAAAAACTGAAAAAAACATGAGTGGAAGGGGTTGAAAATCAGGACATTTCCGGGAAAAAATGTTGGCGGGATATTTACACCTCCCCTGTCTCAAAGTCCAAATTATTTTATCATCTCTATACGTGCTTGTCCTGGAGATAATGGATTGGCTTACCACATGCACATGTTCAAATCCTCAGAAAATAGCCAAAATCCAACAAGTGACTATCTGAAATCGGTTGCAATACCTTCCGTGATTCTTTCAACGAACCAAATATAATTGGACCAAAATGACTGCCTTTAAAATTACCCAGCATGCCCAAAATCTAGTCAAACCTTGGCATGAGTCCGCTTTTGTACATGTTATTTTAAAAATCTAAAAATCTTGACAACTTTCTTTTTTAATACTGCTATTTTTACTTTTTTACATATTTTTCATACCTTTTTGAAAAACTTATGAACACCATGCAAATAGTTTATAAATCAATACATGTAGCTATATAAACTAAGCATTATGCACATTATGTCCAAAATTCCCAAAGCATACCCAGAAAATGTGCCTAATAGAAGCTTTGAAAATTTGAAAAAAGCTCTGATACAAAAATGGTAGTCATAAAAAATAGATCTCTTTTCAAATCGGTTTTTTCATCTTTCTATTTCTTACTGTTATCGAAGTTCAAAAACCCAGCATGTTTTTTTCTGTTTCTGTTAACTACCTTTGAGACCTTAAAACAGCTGGCCTGCTAGACCAGTGAGTAACTCTCAGTCATAACATACCCTGTTGGGCAATATACAAGTTCTATGATTCTGGAGGCAAAACACTAAATCTAGGATTGCGGAGCTTTTTGGAAAAACAGGGAAGACATGATGACATATGAACATGGTGTACTCAGGAAAAATAAATTTAGAAGCCATTTCAAAAACCATTGTGAGATTAATTCATTGATTGATATTGGAACAAACCCTGTCCTTTGTGAGATATTGCTATGATACTACATGCTTTCATATAAAATTAGATTTTAGAGGTTTTAGAGATTAGAGGTTCTTATATGAGTACCTGTGCAAGATCTTCCATTCTTGATGAGCTTTGATAATTCTTCTTTATCAGGTAAGACGAGATAAAGAAACATTATCAAAGCGAGTCAAGAATGAACCATCTTGCACAGGTACGAGTATAAGAAAGTTTTTCTCATATGACTCTGTATTATGCCATATTTTCACCTTTTTATAATAAAACTGAGTGAAAAATAGCTAGAAATTAATGGAACTTCATTTTTCAATTGTTATGACGTCATAACAATATTGTAGAAAATACATGGATACGCGTGGCAACAAAGCTATACATTGTTATGACGTCACAGCTAAGTTTTGTAGAATGAGCATGGATACGCATAGCAACGATGTACTCGTTGCCATGTTGTTGATGTTTATAAACCAGTGATGTCACAAGTAAATATCATCTTGCACGTGTGACGTTTTAGGATGGAAGATGGCAATATCTTGCATAGGGAAAAGATGGCTGTATCTTTGTTAGTCATATGAGAAAATCTAAAGTAGTATTTTGAAAAGTATACTAATAGAAGTGACTGGGATATCTCTGATCTCACATGGAGGAGGAGTATAGTCGCAATACCGTGAAAAATCCGGGGTCTAGAAATTTCCTGGTGAGAACCCTGCAGACATGAACTACACTAAATGTGGAGATCAATGAAGGTAATTGTTTATTATATTTCAGTCATTAACTGTAAAACTAAAGAACAAGAAAATACATAGGGCAATAACATAGTGGAGGCCTTATAGTGGAGATTATTGTGACTTAATGCTATTTTTTATTTAAAATCTAAGAGGATGAATTTGAACTTCTCAATTTGCAAAATAACCAAATTTTGGCAATTCTCTAAGATCTCAACAAGGTCCACAATGGGTCAATACAACCTACTTAACATTTGTCTTGACATTTGTTTTGTTCATGGTATGGGAAAAGTAGTGCTTAAAACACTAGTTTGCTACTTTGTAGATGTATGGCACATATATGTGTACATGTATTGACAATTAATGATTGGTAAGAGCTAGTAGGAATGTCAGGGACCACTGACAGATTTTTATTTTGAACCAAAAAATTGAATTATATTTTTGGCGGTCTCAGTAAATCAATGGGATAATCAGGTCCTACGTGCTTTTTACAGACCCAAAAATCAATGCTTATCCCGTTCCCGGACTATAGTCCTGCACTGATCGCATTCATTTGCCTGTACGATTACAACTTGGGAGAATTATCTACGCCCCTTACACTTAAGATACCTACCTCAATGCATTATAGAACTCAAGATGTAACTTCTAATATATTGGAACCGCCGATTGTCTGGGTATATCGGCAGAACGGGAACATTTTCTCTTTTTCATCGAGAGAGATTCCATCACTTTTCAAAATGGCGGTTGGATTTAAAAGGGGAATCCCCCGTTTGGCTGTCCCGGATGTAGCCCGGAAGTACCAATATGGAGGAATTTGACGGTTGAAATAAGTTAAATGTTACACGCAAATATTGCGATCAAAAACGAAAATGTCTTCGTTCTGCCGATAAACCCAGACAATTGTGGATTCAACTACACGAAAAGAATGCTAAATTACCAAGGAATCTATTGAAGTAGGTATCTGAAGTGTAAGATCAGTAAAAAATTCTCCCATGTTGTAATCGCACAGGCAAAAGATTGAGATGTTCACAGGACCATAGTCCGGGAAAGGGATAAATCAATGCTTGCTTATAAATGTAGCAAAATCTTTTTTCGTTCGTGGGATATTTTTCTCACCATATAAACGAACGGGAAGTTTTTGAATAGTAGATATGATCTGAATGGATGCGAGGATTCAATGGGCTGGGATTTGAGAAATTATGATTTGAACTTTGTTAATCTTAAATGTATTTCAATTGGTAAAAAAGTAGGTTGCTTTCTACCAATAGCTTGCACCCTGAAGAGGTCGTCCAAAAGTCTCCAACTCGGTTACAAACTAGAAATCAATGGGTTTATAAAATTATCAGGATATTATAGGAAGCAATATCGATATCTTTTTATGGAAACTGTTCAAGGAACGAGGAAGACATCGTGCTTTACTTCATGGTTGAACAACAACAAATCGGGACGGTGTACTTCCGCTGGAATTTATTTTAAAAAATACTAGAAAACATGAAAGGACACTCACCTGTGCGTAAAAGGGTGATTAATAACCATACTACGATGTGACATCCGGTTCGCCTCATCATTCTTTAATCCTTTGGGTGACAAATTTACCCCATTTCAACTTATTTCGTAAATTTTCAACTAATTTGTAAAACTTTTAACTTTGGCAGCCATTGCTGTTTGAAATAGTTCATTGAATATCCCTACGCTAATTGATTTGCCATGATCCTTGTGAGCAAGCTCATGGGCGAATGATTTGAGTGATATTGTTGCACTAAATAATGAAAGTTGCAATTAATAATGAATTCAATTTATAGGCTTATGTCTTAAAATTGAAAAGATATACTGCACTTGTGTAGTTTTTACGAATTTGAAAATCGAGGTAAGGAGTATATTATCAAGCGGATGTATGATTTGTTCTTACTGTAATTTTCCCCAGTACTTCTCAGTACAATAATACTACACGGATTAATAATTAACCAGATAGTCTATTTCGGTTCGATCTCTGTCAAATCATTAACTAAATCATGTTAGAAGTAGTAAACTTGACCTTGAAAATACAAAACATAGTACATAAATTTTCAGATCTAATAATATTGGGTTCAATGAGTGCTGTTCAATAAACACCTACAGTAAAATTTTAAATGTTTGTAACTATTTTGAATTCAAAAATAAGCAATCAAATGACTAAATAATTAAAAAATAGAATTATTGGGCATTGTTTTGAATTTTAAAAATGTTGGACTCAACATTTTTTCGTATCCGACCCTCTGAATTTTTGGGGTCGCCTATGGTTTAGCATGGTCAAATTTTATGTGTGGGCAGGGGTTCGTTCGACCCCCCCCCCCTTTACCAAAAGCTGCATTCGGGCATGTTGCTCATATTGCATGTAAAATATTAATACAACTAACTTTTTTTGTACGTTTATATTTCACATCATTTTAAAGTCATTTGGTATCCTCCAACACATGCTTAATAAAGTTTTACAAAGAATTGAAATAATTCAAACTGAATAAAATAACGATGATCTAAACGCCTCTATAGGTACTTTCATTTCTCAAAATAATAATCTAAAAATATTTTTTCCCAAAGATTATATTTTAATGTTCAGAGGATACAAAATATTGGACAGCCTAATCTCGACAACTTGAATTTTTTTTTTTTTTTTTTTTATTTCAAAGAATAAGCATGTTAAAGCAATTGCAAGCCGTCTGGTTAACAAAAAATAACACATTGCCTGTTCATGAAATCAACATATATGTCGCAGTCTCTACTCCAACAACTGATTTTCAAAATATCAATTATTGTAAATTGGCCTATCTAGTCTATTAAGTGCATTACTTAATCTTATTTAAAACATTTTTTAGTACTGAGAATTCCGAAACGCGACCGGGGTCGTGGGTTCAATCCCCACTAGGATGGACTGACTTTTTAACAACCTTTAGCACAGGATTTCATTTTGAGCTTGTTTAAACATTTTTTAAGAATTCCAAACAAACTATGATTTCAAACTTTGTTAAAAGTCAAATGTCCATATGGATAAAAAGTGTCAAACTAAAGATCTATATGTTAAAGGCAGAATCAGATCTATGGGGGTGACAAAATTACAAGCAACGTGTACAATTGACCTACCAATATATTCCTTACAATCTCAAATACAATATCTCCCAAAAGATTCACGATATGCTAGTGGTGAAGTTATGAGGGATTCAAAGTGCAAAAATGGGTGAAAAATGTTTAAATTCTCCCAAATAATAAGAATGGTAACCATTCTTATAGAAAAGTATTACATTATCGTAAAAATCTCGAGTTTTCCTGAAATAAAGTGTGCACTTTGGGTATTTTTGGAATAGACATGAAAAGGAATGACATGAGCCAGAAATATTCTAAAATTGAAACGATTTTTGTTCTGCTCGCTAGATCTGATTCTCTCTTTAATATTGGAATTGCCACATAAAATGTAAAAAATGAAAAAAGTGTAAAAAATGTTAGTTGATCATTTTCTCCACAGTAACATTAAAACGCTGTGATATTAAGCAAATATTTCATAGTATGGAGGGCAATACCTTGAAAGTGTAACAAGTATTGCCCGAACACTCTCTAGGATCAATTTTCATTTCAAAGAAATATAGTATTTGTTTCAGCCAATGAAAATTAATTCTAATCAATAAATATATCATAAACCCATCAGTTCAAATAATTACTTACAAGTATTACTGTATAGACCTAGTGCAACTTTAATTTCGTCCAGTGGAGTTGTCAGAATTCCCAGGCGGGTAATAAGCCGGGCAATACGTCTTTTATAATCCAATAATTGAGGGAGTTGTGAAATACGACATGGCATTTTTGATCACATGGTACTGAATCAGCCAATCAAATCACACGATTTCTAGCAATAATATAATAAAGACATTAACTTCTCATGTGCGACACAGCCTGGTTGCTAGGAAAAATGCTATGCGTTGTAACAACTGTTCTTTACTATATATGTTGCCAGGTTATTTGGTAATATATTTGAAAAAAGTGGACGTCCCATTTTTAGCCATCCTTATGTATCCGGGCATTCCTGCATCTTTTTGAAATATTGCACATTCACTATCTCGTGAATCTATAGTCTTTGTTGCCCCTTTAAATAGTTTGTCGTAGTGAAGCTACTACAATACTAAATGACAACAAGACACACAGTGATAAATATCGCACTTTGAAGAGCAAACTGGCCACCATGCAATTTACCCAGCATGGCCAAAACCTAATCAGACCTTGGCACTAGTCTGCTCTTGCATCTGTAAACATTTCAAGTTGACAAGGTTAGCGGTTTTCCTGCAATTTTGATGACAAGAATTTATTTGTAGTCTTGAACTTTGGGAAAATTTAGATAACATTGTTTGTGACCTAATTTGATGACCTTCGACCTTGAAAATTTCACTTTTTCAGACCTCAGTAGGTCTTTTGTAATTAAGCTGACCTAAATTTAAAACCAAAATATCAATTTAGAAAATCAAATTTTTGACCTTTTCAAGGTCACTGAAGGTGAATGAAAGGTCAAATCTGTGACCTAGTTTAATGACCTTGACCTTCGACCTTGAAAATTTCACTTTTTCAGACCTCAGTAGGTGTTTTGTAATTAAACTGACCTAAATTTAAATCCAAAATATCAATTTAGAAAATCAACTTTTTTGACCTTTTCAAGGTCACTGAAGGTGAACGAAAGGTCAAATCTGAAATCTAAGGTCAGATTTGAACTTCTGAGAACTTGTAGATGTTTTAAAAAAAAAATTGGTCAATTTGGAGCAAGTTGAAAAATTCAAAATGGCCGCCAAATTGAAAAATTCAAAATGGCCACCATGTAATTCAGCCAGCATACCCAAACCTAATCAGATCTTGGCAATAGTCTGCTCTTGCATCTGTAAAATTTTTAAGTTGAACGGATAAGTGGTTTTCCTGGAATTTTGATGACAAGATTTGTTGAAAAATTCAAAATGGCCGCCATGTAGTTTACCCAGCATGCCCTTAACCTAATCAGATCTTGGTACTAGTCTGCTCTTGCATCTGTAAACATTTCAAGTTGAACAGGTAAGCAGTTATCTTGGAAATTTGATGACAAGATTTGGTTTATGTGCCGCCCACCCGCACGCCCGCCCGCCCAACAGCACAAGACGACGACAATATAGCACTTTTTCAAAGTGCGATAAAAAGGTAGCAATCCCAATGGGGTCACACAGCATGTAAAAACCTTAGCAGGATAGCGTTCATAGATTAATTTGCATTCTTTCATTTCAGAAATATTTAGATGAGAGCAATTCCTTCTTCATCCTTCCCCAAAAGGCTTCATTGCTATTGTTTATGGTAAAAAGTGAAATACCCTTCAAGGGACTTTTCATTCAAGATACTTTCAAGTACTTTAGAGACAGAAATTAGAGATTGAAATGCTTACTTCATGTACCTGGGCAGTAGAAGTAATCTTCCATTCTCTAATATGTCATGTGTGTAAGATGTGTGCTTTGGTCGGAAAATGACTCCTATCTTGGTGGAATTCATTCCAAACAAAATGAAAACATTTGTTTAGTCTTTTTGTTTTTCTTCATTGGACCACAATGCATTTTTTCGAATTCTTTATGTTTGTATTTTGTTACTTTCAACGGATTTAAAATATATGATTGTACGTCTGTGGAGCTCCAAGTATTCTGAGCTACCCAAGTATTCCGACTCTTGCCTGAAGTATTCTGACTTAACCGAAGTATTCTTGGTTTAATCATTTCATCAAATACAATTTTTGCCACCCTCTAATTTCAATCTTAGATTGGAATACTTGGGTTGTCAGAATAGTTGGGCAGGAGTCGGAACGCACTTGGGTAGCCCAGAACAGTTGGGCTTCCACATCCGCCCCTTTCTCCGAGAGTTTTCCAACGCATTGCCATTGTTCGTCCATTGTTCGTGAAATTTGTAATAATAACGAATAAGTTAATTCACACCAGTTTACCCCTTTCCTCACAAATTCCTCGTCTGAACTGAGTATTAATTCCGGTCGATAGAACTGAAGGATTTCTGTTGAGACAATGAACAATGTTTAGTGATTACGTTGAAATTCAAATCACAAAGGACGGGGTGCAATAAGGGGCAAATACCACCATGGTCCGGATTAATTATTTTAGTTGTAAAAGGAAGAAATTACAATGTCACAATACATTGTAATTTATTTTTTAGTAACTACGACCTAGTAAATCAAGCAGCTTTTCAATTAAAAACACCCAGTGATAATACATTTTTGAATATAACTTATATTTTCATTTATTGTCCGATTATGAACGCGATTGGTATCAAATTACACGTGACAACCTATCCTTTCAAGGGAAACCAAATCAATTTTCGTCAAAAATATAGCCAGTGTTTCACTAGCCGGACGCACCTTTCAATGTTTACTTTTAAAAAGCTTCAAATTTTAATGATTCTACCATATTAACGATTTTTGTCCCACTACTATTGCTTTCTTTTTTATTCATCAGACTATTTTACATATGTCGTTATGCTTCAAATTGACTTGGAACAAATTATACGATTAATAGCGGGCAAATTTCTTCAACAGTATTGGGTGTCAAGTCGAGTTTTAAGGATCGCAATGGAGCAACTTTATCATTATCATTATTGACCACAATTATACGAATATTTGCGGGAAATTCTTCAACAGTATTGGAGTTATATAAGTTTTAAGGATCGTAATGGAGCACCTTTACCATTATTGAGGTCAAACGAATATCATTACCGAGGTCAAATGATACAAATTTTAGAGGGCAATTCTTCAACAGTATTGGTGACATCAGGGAAGTTCATAATTATTGAGAAAATGTTGGTCAAGCTATCTAATAAGTCAGTGCAACAGAATGTTTTCCATAAGACTTATGGACTACACTACAGTA